TTAGTAATCTGGCGTGTTCTCAAACCATGAGTTTCCTCACTTTTACTCGTCCGATTCTCTCCCCTGTCCCACCGTGGGGGAGGGAGTGAGCGGCTGCGTGGGGCTTAGCTGCCAGCTGGGGCTAAACCACGACAACATGTAAAAAAACCACAAAGTCTTTGGCACTTTAATTTAGACACGCTTTGAAAGCTGTCTACATAACCATGAGAGGCTAGGTAAATTCACCATGTGACATTTTGCTCCACTGGGCAACAGGGATCAAAAATGCATATCTTATGATTAGTCATTTCTTGTTCTCTGGCAAACTGAGCAATAAGCCATAAAGGGCTAATGGACAATCCAACAAATCCAACACAGGTCTTCTGGTGATTGCAATACAGTGATTGCAGAATGAGGAAATATGGGATTTAGTGGGTGTCTTATAAAGTCCCATGGAGGGTTGCTTTCCTGATATGGTTCATTGCTCTGTATGACTTTTAATCTCACTATGTGATTTCAGTAACTTCTCAGGGCTGCTTTGCAAACAGAATTGAAATATTCCTCTCAATGCTGTAAGACTCAAGCCTAAGATGATGGTTCATTGTTTCACTGCTTCCTGTCATCCAGTCACTGCTTTTTCCCTCCTATATCCTCCAAACTACCCTTAGCCTGCATGTTTCCTATTCCGTATCACTTTTGCCCCAGTCCCCAAGCTGCCCCACTTACCATTGAGTTCCATCTCCCTTTTTTTCCCCTACACTCATATTAGTCTTTTTCCAAACTTGGCCTCCTCAGTTCTTGCTCACCCATCCGTAACTATTGTTTATTTCATTTAAGTTTTTCTTGAGCATTTTGCATCCATCCACCCTTCATTAATAGCACAGTTCTTCAGCTTTGCATCCAAAGCCTATGGTGCTTCCACATTCAATGATGTCTTCCAAATCTTGTGGAACATGTCTGAGACTTCCAATAGTGTCTTTCCAACCTTAAAGGCTCCTTTAACACACTAAATATAGAAGTCTCCTATAACCACATATTAGTGGATTAACCAAGAACATTCCCAGATACTGGAAAATGCTAATCTATACTGTTAACTTGTTAGAACACTGGTATGATATTGACTGTGCGAGTTAGCAGTATCCCCAAAAACACTCTTGGGTACACAAGTTTTGGGCAGGGAAAAGGCCACCTTGTTTTGGGAGACTGGATTTACATAGCCTACTCCCATACTGGTGGATCTCAATGTCAGGGAATGCTGCTGTGTGTGTTCCATGCACCAGAAAAGATATAGCCATTGTGGTCCAAGTAGTTCATGTATCAAAATGACTGGGAATACATGGGGTCAGATAATGTCGTCTTAAATTTGACTGCAAAATGAAATGAGACAACCGGATGAAACAATGAAAAAGATACTAAAATGTTGCCAGACAATAGATTACCTCTACTGGGTTTTTTGATTGTCTCTAGAGGGAAATTCTTACTTTCTTTTTTTTGAATGGAAGGAAGTTCCATAGACAGTGCTTCCACATCAGGAATCTAGAGAAAAGTAAGAAACAGGGCTTAGATCTCCCAGTGAAACACTTAGAAAAAAACCCATCAGACAACCCCTTTCCCTTGCAAAAGAAAAAAAAAGAAAAAGAAAAAAAAGAAAAAAAAAGAAGAAAAAAAGAAGAAAGAAAAGGAAAAGAGAAAAAGAAAAAAGGAAAAAAATGGAAAAAAATTTAAAAAGGAGAAAAAAGGAAAAAGGGAGAACAGGAGAAAAGGGGAAAAAAGGCAGAAAAAGGTGGGAAAAAAGGGGAAAAAGGGAAAATAGGCAGAAAAAGGCAGGAAAAAGGGGGAAAAAGGGAAAAAAGGCAGAAAAAGGCAGAAAAAAGGGGGGAAAAAGGGAAAAAGAGGCACAAAAAGGCAGAGAAAAAGGGGGAAAAAGGAAAAAGGGGGGAAAAGGGGAAATAAAGCCAGGAAAAGAGGAAAAAAAGGAAAGGGGTGCAAAGGAAACAAATAAGCAGAACCAAAGTGGTAACTATAAAAAAGATATACATAAGTATAACTCAGATTCCAAAGTACGTTTTTGAGAATGCTTTATGCATTTACAACATTTATCAGATGAGATTACAACAGGCAAGTTCCCAAGGCCACCTTTAACCCAGGAGGGTTAGTCTTACTAATTCCCTTTCTAGTTAGCAGAGAGGTGTTTGAGGGTTAAGTGAAAAGAACCCGAGGTTCAGTTTCTTCTCTGAATCACACTCTCTCCAAAGTTTATGTAAGGAATCCACAGAGTTTGTACTCAATAAACATGTAACATATCCAAGATGTTTCCTTTGACAAGGACATATAATTCCCAGTATTAATTCTGTCACGACTGTTCTCTGTAATGGTTTCTTGAGATAAATCGAGGCTGAGATGTAAACCCACAACTGTCTATGTAGGAGTATGGCAGAAACTATCTGGCCTAGCACAACAAACTCATCCAGTTTTCAGCTACATTACCTTTCTCGGGAAAAACTTCTTGCCGAATTCTGATTCAAAATACGGAGGAATTATTTTCTTTCTTATTGCCATTAAGGACTTCTTTTCTTCATCAAGTTCTTTTCTAGGTAAGTTTTAACATTGTTGGTAAGGAAAAGAAAGAAAAAAGCATTATAACTGAGTTCACCTTGCTTTTCAGTATTATGTTTAAAACACTAAGGAATGGAATTGATAAAGGCAAGTGGCTTTTTTTTTTTCCTGGTTAATCACATCAAACAATATTCTTGTAATTGGCAATTTTCTCAGTGATTGATCAAGAACGGTCTGGTATGCACAGACCTCCTCTGATATGGAAGGTATGATTTATGGAGGGGCTGATCAAAATGCATATGGACAGTGGGTTGGCTGCTATGAAAAGCTCCTCCTCAAAACATGCTCCAGTTTTTCCAAATCTTGTGGAACATGTCTGAGACTTCCAATAGTGTCTTTCCAACCTTCCAATAAACATTTAAATATGAGAATTGGTATTTCAGATGCATTGCTAAAATTTCTAACACAAAATTAATCTAATTTCCTTATTTTATCACAGAAAAGCTTGATGACTCTGTGGATACAGAAAAAGCTTTTCAAACTCCTGAAGGTAAAATTCACCAGAGTAAAGACCAGTTACGTTTTCAGCTTGATTTAGTCCAATTTTACACTACTCTAGTTTCACTGACTTGCAGGGTCTAATATCAGCTATGAAATTATCACTCAACCGTATTGAGAGTTTTAACATTGGCTTTAGAGCCAGAATTGCACATGATGTTCTTGGGTGCTGGCTACTCAGATGTATATCTTTAAAGTAATTCTTTAAATAATATGCAAAACAGTCTAAAATACTATATTAAAATAGAAATCTGAAATTATAAAAGTGTTTTTTGTCTCATGCAAGTCAGAGAGTAATTAAGAAGTATGGAAAAGAACTTAGTTTTCAATTGCTATTTAATCTTTCACAAAAATAAGAAATAAAAAGTAAGTTTCTGATCATTGTATTAGTTCATCACCACTTCAAGTTATTCTGTTTAATCTAAGAAATAGTGAATGACCAAAATAGCTGTCAATACAATTATTTTAATTTCATTGTGAATGAATGCATGTTACTGTTAGCTTTCTCTATGTTAATCCTCGGCCATGTATCAGGTTGTTCTATTTCAACATAAATTAAATGCATATTTTTAATTCTGTAAATTTAAACAGTCCTCCTTGGATTACCTTGGATTACACTGGGAAATTTTACATTCTATCAGATTCACAAAGCCCTTACCTCTGGAACTGAAAATTATAGTGGTTTTAATGCGCAATGCTTAAATGAGATGGTTTTGAGTGGTACTAAAGAAGTATATAATGCAGCAATATAATTACATCTCTCCATAGAATAAATGTCTGTAAATTTACTTTCCAAAAATCATATTTTTCTCTCAATTAATAGTGGCTTTGAGATTACTTCTGTTTTTTTTTTTCAAATGCTTTTGTGAATTACCATATCTGCAGATTGAAATCCAGTGACTTTCAATTTACACCTGAGCCGAAATTCTCACGAAAATTCATCTACCTGATTGTGAAATGTACATTTTCAGCAGTATATGCTGTTTCAAAGCATCTATATAGATTTTTTTTTCCTTGAACTCATCAAACAGCTTCAACATTCATCAGTGGGAGACAAAGGGCAATTTTTTACAAATTTGAGACCAAGTGAAATCAAGTAGATTAGAATTATAATTCAGGGTCAGTCTTAAATAAGACAACTTCCAGTGTTACAAAGATTTTTATGCTTATACACATACACATGCACACATACATTTCCTCCTGTAAAAGCACCTCTAATCTGATTATATCCAATTACAGCATCTGCCTCAGAACTCCCATATAATATATATGGGGAAATGGGGAAATGGAGAAATACTTTACAAACAGGAAACTGAGATACGGGCAATTGCCAAAGTAGAACACATTCAAATGTGGCAAAACAGGACTTGCTTTAGTAAGGCATTGATTTTTTAAAGTGACCCTAATCTTAAGGTTCTTCTTAAAAAGTTTACCTACTGTCCACATGTTTTACCTCCTAAAATGTCCTCAGAAAGGCAGCTGCATTTCCAAGGTGTAAACCTTATGGTTTACATATAAAGTACAGCATATCCTGCACTTTATAGTGCACTCCACAATGAAGCAGGGAGGGACGGAAGACTGAACAATCAAGTGAGGAAACGGTGGATATGGCAGGCAAGCAAAGGGGTGATGTGAACAGAAGGGACATCACAATCAACAAAACAGGGCTGAAGTGGGTCACACCAAGCATATGCATGTAAATACGGAATTGCCTATGGGCTAGCATTATGGGGAATGTTTTCAGACTCCTTCTGGGCAATTGGCATGGCTGGCTGCCTCTCTGAAATGCCTGTACACTACTGCACGCAGCACAGGTAACAAACAGGAGGAATCATAAGTCTGTGTGCACTTCTGGTGCTATGACCTCATTGGTATCACAGAGAAGTGGAAGGATAGCTCACATGAATGGAGTGCTGTGTGGATGGATACAAGCTCTTTAAGAAGGGCAGGCCAAGAAGACAAGGAGGGGAAGTTGCCCTGTATGTAAGAGAGCAGCTGGGAAGCATGGGGCTCTGCCTGGGGATGGGTGATAAGCCAGTTGAGAGCTTATAGGTTATTATTAGTGATCAGACCAACATGGATGACATTGTTGTGGGTGTCTGCTATAGACGAGCTCGTCAGAAGGAAGAGGTAGATGTGGCCTTCTTCAGACACCTGGAAGAAGTCTCACGTTCATAATACCTGGTCCTCATGGGGGACTTAAGCCACCCCACCCACCACTGGCAAGCAGCCCTGCAGAGAATAACCTAGGAGTCTTGGTGGACACCAAATTGAACATGAACCAACACTGTGCTCTTGCAGCAAAGATGACCAGCGGAATCCTGGGCTGCATGAGGAGGAGTGTTGTCAGCAGGTCCAGGGAGGCAGGGAGGTGAACCTTCCCCTCAGCACTAGTGAAACCACATCTGAAGTACTGTGTCTGGTTCTCAACTCCCTGATACGTGAGAGAGATGGACTTACAGAAGCAAGTCCAGAGAAGCACCACAAAGATTATTAAGAGCTTGGAGCATCTTTCATATGAGGAGAGGCTGAGAGAGCTGGGACTCACCAGTTTCTAAAGCTCGGTTTCTATTTGAAAAATCAGCTGGGATTTGTAGAATACCTGAATGCTAACCTAAAGCGTCGGCATTTGAAAATAGTAATATAACTTATTTTCCATGCTGGTGGCAGAGTCAGAAAACAGAACACAAGATTTCTGACTTCAGCCTTGTTATAAATAGCGTAAGTTAACAGCAACACTGCTAGGTTCTGAAAAAATGAGAGCAAGTTACACCATCCATTCAGCATTTCTGTTGCAGAAAACACCTCATTATTTGCTAGCAAACCACTGGACCGTTACACAAGACCTCATGAAATCAGTATCAGTCTTTCCAAAAACAGACTTAAGTTGACTCTTAAAATCATGAACTTTCTGTCCTACCTGTGCTCTTCTAGTCTGCTCTGCCACTTGGACACTGGTGTTACTCCTTCTGAGCTGAATGATCAGGGAAGAAAAAAGTAGTGAAAATGAGAAAACTAGCATAATGTTTTATAAGCACAAAAATATTTACAAGATAATCCTGGAAAAAAAATGCTCTTTATGAAAGTCTGTTATATTAACATCTCAGGTGACTCCTGACTTGGACTTCTAAGGTTTGCAGCAAAATTGTTTGCTCGTATCTGCATTTTTATTATATTACTCAATCAAAGAAACCCTCAAAATCCTTTTCCAACAAATGTTAAAGTACTTCTGAGATAAGGAAAGAGAGGCATAGAGGGGCAAAATAATCACAGGGAAAGCTACTAAAACATTGCTATATCTATATAGAGATCTAGGTCCCAGTCCTTAATGACAGAGCACATTGCCTTGCCTGTGTGCTTGGTTCCATCCTTTGTTATTTATATTAGTATCAGTTCTCACTGGTCTGTCCTACCTGAACTGCTGTTGGTCCTCTCTTTGGGTAGTGATTGTCTTCTCTGTGTGACATTGGTGATGAGAAGCCACTGCCTGTTCATACAGCTCAGTTATGTGAGCTGTAAGGTAAAGAGTATTATGGAATGTGCATGTTCTGCAAAGCACTGCTAAGTGTAATGAATAATAAACAAAGAAGGATAGATTTTTAATGCGTCTTTCTGTCACTTGATGAAAACCTACAGATTTTATTAGCGTGAGGGAAGAGGAAGAGAGAACTTAATTCTAAAATCAAGTTCAGAACATTAAGAGATAGGAAATTAGTTCAATTCAAGGTAGAAAGAATGAGAAGCAGATTACATTTATACCCCTACCTTGTATTCCCTGAAATATCTTTTTGTGATTTCAAGATACAAATCAAATACCAGTGAATAGGAAAACTTGCTGATATTCAGCCACCTTCTGATTGGGGAGCAACATTCCATGTCTCTATCCCCAGCTGAAGAAAATAATGTAGGTTTTCAAGGACCTTTATTGCTTTTAGCTTACTTAGGTTGTGCTCAAATGTGGCTATGAAGGAGCCATAGTCAACATTCTCATGGAAGCAACTACTAGTTCAATATGTGTCATGAAGAAAAGCCAATCTTTCCAAATTATAAGACTGTGACCAGCTTTGGGGCTTTACTAAAGACTTTCACTGTCCTCTGACACCTTCTATAAAATGTGTTGCTTACTTCATGCCTTGTACCCAACCAGTGAGTCCAAAGAAATTTTCTTTGAAAAGAAATTTCTGTGGCAAAACTTAGGAGATTTGAGTATTTGAGACATATGGCCCTATTTGGTTATGACAACATCTCTTAGTGTTTCAGGAATTATGTAATTGCAAACTTCAAAATTAGGGTTTTTTTTCTGTGTCAGCCTTTTCACTGTAAAATATATTTTTATTTTCCCACTTTTTCTATTTTTGCCTCTCTTAAAGAGCTTCTCTTTCATACTGTCTTCTTCATTAATAATGGTATGTTACAAGTACACCTCCATTTTAATTACCTTTTTTAAATCAGGAAACTGTGTAGCAAGCATTTGTTGCAGCAGTTTCCATTTACATTGCATAGTGTGCTTTTTTTTTTACAGCAGAAACAGACTTGACAAGGTAGGAAGGGCAGGAAAATAGGGGCTGAGTACTATGGATTTTTCTGAGGGAAAGGCTTATGGATTTTTAAAAGAAACATACATCTTAATTTTCATTTGTACCTACTGAAAACATCAATTAATGTTAACAAGTATCTTATGTGAATTTCTGTTAAAGTTTTCAAGGCAAAACCAATACACTCTTCCATCTTTTCCCTCAGGCAAGACTGATGAAACCAAAACCCATGACCATTTGAGATCAGATTTTCAAATGTAATAAACAACCAGGACTCAATCAGTTGCTCTGAAAAGTTGTCTGAAATGTTGATACTTGTATAAAACTGAGTGGTGTCACAGTTCTTATACCTGAAAAAAACTCCCTATGTGTAGAAACGTGGGTCAAAGTGACAAATGCACATGCCTAAACATAGGAAGTGTTTTTTTACAAATACTCAATCATTGATGCTAACAAGTTCCAATTACCCATGAAAATCATACTCAGAATAGAAGAGACAAAAGCATATACATAGCACATAGATAAATTCATCTTTATGTTCCTTCTTTAAAAATAATATTACAGTACTTTATAATTTAACATGGTATTTTACAATTTTAAAAAATAGATATTCAATTTTTATTACCTCTAGCACTGGAATCTTCAGATGACTTCTCCCAGTTAGGGAAGGACTGCAGTGAAGAAGGAATAAGTGTGAACATGTGAGAAACAGACCTCACAACAGCACCATCCTGTTCAAAGGATTTCTAACCTAAACAAGTGTTATTGTGTTACCTCAGAATGCTACAAGAATGGAGATATTTCAGTGTGATAGAAAACATGAGCTGGTGAAAAAGGAAATTAAGTACATTCTTCCTAGTCTAAACAGGTATTTGTTTCCTTCTTGATGACCTAGTTCACAGATGGCTTCATATCTTATATGGTTGCTGTTTATTAAATCAGCAAATCCAGTTCGTATTCCAACGCAAATCCTTCTGCAAAGGATTTGAACCAGATCCAAAACTCATGGTCACAACAAGTCAAACGGGAAATGTGTTCAGGAATTTGTAGGCTTCATTACTGAAGGCGGTCTCTTGTGGTTGATCTACAGTAAAGTGTTTGAGGGGTAAGAGGCCCTAAACTAAGCTCTTTCCTTTATTCTTATGCTGTCCCTGAAGCAGTTAACTGGAAACCAGAGTTCCTGTGACCAGGCAGTCTAGGCTGTAACAGAGCTGGGAATTAGTGGAGACCTGAGAGGAGTGTGACACTGATTCCTGAGTCACAGCAGGTCCACAGCGGGACTCTACTGCTCAGAAGAGTTATCCAATGTGAAATCTGTACCTGGAAATGTGCTCATGGTAGCTGGGACAATTAACAATAATTAGTCACTAGACAAGTTCATTGGAACCAGCCAGCATGTGAGATTCAGCACCTGGATCTCATCAAAGCACAGAAATGTCTGCCTAGAGGATAGAGGCAGATGGGGTTACTGATAGATCACTTCTCTCTCTTCCTCCTTCCAGAAAAGTTGTGAGTTCCTTCCTGGTTTTTTGCTAGATGTTTCTTTTCTCTATTCTCTTTTTAAGACTTGTATGTCACTTGAAAGTACTGAGCAAAAATATATATATGAAAGCTTGAAATATCAAAAAATAGGCTTTAGTTTCAGCAAATTAAAATGCTAACTTGGCTAAAAAGTTCAGAGACCAATTCTAGAACTACATGGGGGTTTTTTAGGCTTGTACAGAAAAAAAAAGTAAAGTTACAGATCTATTCAGAAAGCTGGGAAAAGGAAATTAACAGCATTTAAAACTGGAAAGATTTCACTCCTGATGTTTTTTCATGTTGAGACAAGGTTTAAAAGGTAGACTTTAAGGCTAAGATGAAGTTTTTTTGCTAAAATACACTGACTTTTGAAAGCTTGATAGATCATTGGAAGTGAATATTTAAACTAACATGGCTAGATATGGTATTTGAAATGCCAGATTATTTAATTCAATATGTTTGAATTCACTGTATGCATGTTATTTGATTAAACGGGAATAAAAGTATTTCCTAAACGAGACTAAAAAAGAAAAGTGTTTAAAAACATCTAAAAATCTAGTGTGTGAATTCACATTATGCAAGGTACCAAATTTAAAGGAAGGTGTAGGAAACAAATTACTTAACTGAAATAGAGCAAACTGATGACTCTTTGCATAAGATATAAGCAGTGTTTCTCTCATTCATCTTAATTCATTCCACCCACTTCTGCTTGTAGTTTTCTAATTTTTTATTACTACTCATCTCCCACTAACCTCATTGTTTCCTGCCCCAAGTCCCTCTTCCCCTATTTACCCCTCCCTTTTCTTTTCATGCTCTAACTATCTGTGCAAATTAGCAGAGTACATTTTCCAAAAAATATAAATGCTGCTCAGCAGTAATAACAATATTCCTCCAAATTGTTTTCATATTATCCCAAAAGCAGGGTTTAAACTCTTATGGAGGTGGCTGCAGCTGAAATACAAGTCTCCCAGCTGCAATGACAACAGACTGGAAACATTCTCATCCTAATGTTGGGAGATATACACATTTCAGTAATTCTGGCCTGTGTGTCTGGGAATGTATCATTCTGCAGAGTCAAACTCTTGAACAGTCCTTCCCCAAAATGGCAGTAGTGCCATTCAGTAGCCCAGCTGAATACTGAGTGTGGCTCTGCTTTACCATTAAACTACAGCAGAGCTGGCACTGTGCTATCCCTAACATTTGCCATTTTATTAATGGATAACAATGTGTTTTAAGACTGACACTTCCAATGCAATATAATGGTTTTGTTGGAAAAAATAGTTTAAAATTGTATTTTTCTCACTGTAACCAGTTGAAGGACACTTGCAGCATTCTCTTTTTCCTCTTCTGTTCTTGGTTCTTTTACATTCATCTCTTCCAGCTCATTTTCCTGCTTTAAAATGTTGTCTATATATTCCTAGTGGAATGATGAAAACAAACGAGAAAGATGCAGATGTTTTCTTTGCAGAAGTAGACTTAAAGGTCACATATACAGAGAAGAGAGTTTGTATAAGTAATGGACGTATACGCTCCTTCTCAATGTCATAAAGGTCCCTTCTGTGAATCTGTGTGAATATGTTATATACGTATCTAAAGGTTTGCATGAAGAAATAGTTTTTAAAAAACCCAACAGGTCAAAGAGAGGAGTATATGCTGAGAAGGTAGCAGGTGAAAGCTTACCACAGACTAATCAACTCTGAAGACTAGCAATACTGTTGAATCTGCAAGAACTAATACGCTAAGGACATCAACGGTCTGCTGGATCTCTACCAGGCCACGAGCACACATCAGCATCCACAATGAACTGTGTGACTTGGACCACATCCAACAGCTATCTAGATGCCTCTGCTGCATCAGTGTGAACCCCTGCTTCTGAGCAGGCATGTAGCTTTGGCCTCCCACCTGTTGTACCAGCCAGGCAAGTACTAGTGAGCGTGCAAGTGTTTGAGTCAACTATCTGACTGAATAAAGGAATGTGTTGAGTAAAGAGCTGCTATTAATAGTAATCAATTATATTATTCAGGCCAGCTTAAGGAATAAAAGGTGTTCTCACAAACATTGTTTGTGATTTGTATCTCCCTCCTGTTTGATTTCCTATTAGGGAAAAGGAAATTTACAACATCATAGTTGAAAAATTACGTTCAGAAAAAAATATGAAAGTCTTTCGTTAGACAGATGTTTACATTTGTCAGAATCTCACTAAGTGCTACAGAAAAGAACACTTTTCCTTTCCCACACTGCTTTATGCTTTAGAAGATCAGCTGGATGGAAAGAAAGGGTCTTTTGCAGAAGGTTGTCCTAACTCACCACTCTGCTAGAAAGCTACATGCAGTACTGAGCTTTATGAATAAGACAAGGTTTGCAGAAGCAATGTTTCCAGTTTCAGTTCTTTTTCATTCCTTTATATCTCTTAAATCTTAAAGAAAATGGAAAAAGAAAGAATACCTTTTTCTTTGCTTGACTTAGTTCTGACAAAGTGAACATTTGGCTAAAGATTTAAGATACCTTTTTCTGGAAAAAATAATTAATTAAATATTGGTATATGAGCAGTGAGGATATTTCCATTGCATATTAACACAATTATTACAAATGTTTTCTCAGTGCCAATAATTGCAATTCTTCCTTCCCAATGTAACAAACAGCGTTCTTCTTTCTCTAAAAGCCAGCGACAGATCTGGTCAATGGAGAAACTTACCTTGGGATTTTGGTGTGGAACTTTTTTTATAGCATTGCCTTTGAACGAGCAGTATGTAGAATAAAGAATCATTTTAATAGACTGTAAAAGGGTAAAGTTTAATTCTGATAGACTAGCATGTCCCAAACATACCAGGGCTGAATAGCTGTCAATGTTTTCCTACTGCAAGAATGTTGTCTTTGAAATGTAATGTGAAAAAAAAATTACACAAATTCTAACTGGCTACAACATGCTATTACCTTTACAAATTTCACATGCTGTTAATTTTCAAATTCAGTCTGCAATGCCACTATCAAAATATGTTAAATGAATAAATTATAGAACACATGTATTTTGTTACTCTTTAATTAGTAAGTAATAATGAGTTTTTAACTCTAAAATCTCTTCTAAGAGCATCTTCACAATGTGAATTAAATAAATCAATGTTTTATACCAAAACTGAGGACTATAAAGCTGCTTACAAGGATCAACTGCAGAACTTTCAGTCCATTTCAGAACACCTGCATGAGGTGTAGTTTGCACCTTGTTATGAACCCGTCACTCATGAGGGATGGACACACTTTGTCAGAAGGCTACATAACGGTTTGCTAGTTGCGCATAGAGTAATGGAACTGAGACTTGAACCTGGAAATATTCTGTACCGATTTATGAAAACAAATACATAACCAAAACCAGAGTGTGTCTCAGTGACCTGGTCACCAACTTAACTGTAGAATTATGGTGGGTTAGAAATTCTTGTACAACTTTATAGATTTAAGTTTGTAAGGCTTTGTGAAGGAAAACAAACACTAAGCAAAGTAAAAGCAAAGGAACAGATACCAGTATTGACAGAAAAGAAACTATTTGTTAATGCACTATGATAATCCCATGTATTTGCACAGAAAAGCAGGTTCCACAAGACATAAGTGAAAACAGTTGAGCTGTTTAAGAAATACACTTTTCTTAGAGCACCTGTCTACATACGGTAGTAGAAAAAAGTAGCAGAATTTTTGTCTCAGGCATATACTGCAATTTGTCTGTTCTCTATTGCTCACTGGAAGAATGAATAAATGTGATTGTATTACCTTCAGGGAAAGCTGCAGCTTTTCTCTTAGTTCATCACTGAGTGGCTCATACTGGAATAGCTGACGGATTTGCAGTTTATTAGGACATTTTCGCACAGGTACTGACAAGTACGTCTGCTCTCTGGATCCAATGCAGAGACCCCTCCAAATACATGTTCTGACTGAGGGACCTGTGATCTTCCTCTGAAAATAGACAAGAACAAGCAAAAAGAGCAAGAGGCTACTTATATTACTGACTAAATGCAGATATTGGCAATGTGTATCTCAGCTGAGAAGCACATGCTCTCCTTACAGCATCATAGATCTAGACAATAAAGTCAGTAGATTCTTGGGCACAATTTATCTATCCTGAAACTTCTTCATCTGGCAAGATGAACTCCCCTTAAAGTGACTACCTTTTCTGTGACACAGCCTGCTCCTTGCTTTGCCTGCTTAATAAACTGGACTTAACAACGTCACATTGTTTAGAGCTCCATTTCCTCCCCTGTGACAAACATCTATTGCTTAAGCAGCAAAAGACAATTTTGAAACAATTATACCTCAAGAGGAGAAAATGTGTCCCAGGTCCTTGATTGAAGATTTGGAGGAACAATACTCTCTGGTTCTTTCTTCATTACCCAGGGGGAGTCTTCAGCCAAAGGGCGGAGGATAGTAATACTTAAAACACCTGTTTCAAAGACACATTTTGCTAAGAATCAGTTCAAATCCAAAAATTATGGACAAGTGTCTCAAACCTCCAGAAAAATATACTTACCTAAGAATAAAAAACCTTATTATCAAGTGGTAAAATTCCATGTTGAAATGCGATACTTGTGGCTACAGATAATATCAGATCACTGAGGTGATTATAGAATAGTTGGACAAGTTCAGACAGTGTTTAACAACAGACTGCCTATGCCACTTAATTTGAGTCTTGGGTAACAGGTCAGTAGTATAGTGTGTGGATTATCCCAAACAAGGAAGAGCAGACAATTGACCCATGTTTAATGAATACCAGTCTCAGAAGTACATCATATTCAAAACATGCATAATTCTTCACTGTATTTTATACTTCACAATCTGATCATTGGATAAATTCCATTAGAGATTATTTATTATCTCTTTTTATTGTTCTGATTAATTTTAATGTTCTTAAAAATATTTTTTCCAACCCAACCCAAAAATCTACTTAATCTACTATTATCTACCCCATAGGTTGCCTTCAAAATGGATATGACCACTGAGGTACTTTGTCATAATGATACAAAACTGTAGAGCCTTGCTGTCAAGGCAAAGAGAGCCAGTACTGAGAAAGGTAGAGTCTGAAGTCTGGAAAAGCAGACATGTTACTATTACAAATGATTGCTGGTTGTGAGAAGGTTTTCTTGACTGGGATTTTCACTGGGTATGTATCTTCTCCATCCTTCTGATCTTTCCACGTTCCCAATCTTTGTGTCTGCCTCAGTGCCCTTTCTCTTTTTCCCATGGCAAAATTATTTCATTCAGTTTATACAATAGGGAAGCAGTCATTATTGTGAATAGAAGCAGCATTTAAAAATGTGCAAAAAAAAATGTGCAAAACTTTGTAAGAGTAATAGGTAGGAAAGCTGTTCCCCACGCGTATGATATAAATCTTTGAGAAGAATGTCTTAGTACTTTACAGCTTGAAGCAAACTATCCTTATCAGCCCCCCCATATCCAGGGGAACCATACGTTCCTATCTTTTTAAAGATATATTAATTTCCTTAGGATCTAGCTGTTATGCCACAGTGTATTTTATAGAAACACAGTATCTCCAACTAACTTTACAATGATAACCAATCATTTCAGGATGTAACTTCTTGTATTGCTACTATGAGGTGATTGGTGCCATGTACTATTGGCATCCCCTATTTCAGTCATACTTTTCCAACTTCTTAATAACATATATTTATCCTTTCCAACACCCAGACTAAGGGTCAACATCAGAGTATCACTGTCTTCATTGATAAATAGAGCTATAAGATTAATGAAGACTGTGATACATTCAATGTTTCTTGATGGTAAAAACACAGAGAATCTATGCATTTGGTAATCGCTTTTGTTTGTGTGTCTGAGAGTGAATAAAGATATGATAGTTATTTGTTCAGTTATCCCTTCACAGTGTCATTCAGTTAATTGTCTGCTTCCCAGAGTTGCCCACAAGCTCCTTGTTCCCATGCTCCACTGCCAGAAGCGTGGGCACCTCTCTACATGGGGACAAACATTTTCAAATTTCCTGTCCAAATAAGAGTTTTGAAACTTCTGACTCCACTTTTCTAATTATTTCTGTCATTAATTTGTCAGAAAAGAAATAAAATTTTCCCACCTGGACATTCTTGCACAGGATCCTGCAAAACAGCTGCAGCGGGATCACTACGGGCTTCAGCAAGATACTTGTGTACCTCCTTGCTCCGCAGAAGCTCGGTTCCAGAACCATCCGCGTAGATGATGAAGAACCTACACAGCCAGCCACTCACATTGGATTGTATTGGGCATAGGAGGCAAGGTGTTGGAACTGGGGGTCTGCAGGGTGGCCTCTGTGAGGAGGGGCCCTGGGCTGCCCTGTGCTGGATACAGATGGTCCCAGCCAGCTCCAACAGACCCCCTGCAGGTCACAGTTGAGCCCCTCAGCCAAGATGGTGGCGTCTCAGGGAAAGTGTGTGTATGAAAGGGCAAAATGCCACACAGGCAGTGACAAGTGAGGAGGAAAAGTATGAGAAACAGTCCTGCAGACACCAAGGTCAGAGAGGGCGGAAGGGGAGGAGGTACTCCTGGTGCCAGAGCAGAGATTCCCCTGCAGCCTGTGGAGGAGACCATGGTGGACCAGGTGTTCCCTTGCAGCCTGTGGACAGGACCATGCCGGTGCAGACAGGTATTCCTGAAGTAACTGCAGCCCGTGGAGAGCCTATGCTGGAGCAAGTTTAAGCAAAAGGACTGCAGCCCATGGGAAGGACCCACCATAGAACAGGGGAAAAGTGTGAGGAGGAAGGAGCAGCAGAGTGGAGTTGTTATGGATCAAATGCAACCTCCCATCCCCTGCACTGCTGGGGTGGGGAGGAGGTAGAGGGGTCACGAATGAGGCAGTGATGTTGAGCCTGAGAAAAAGAGGGGATGGGGGAAGGTGGTTTAGTTTTCGTCTTTGTTTCTCACCATCCAACTCTATTTTAATTGGAAATAAATTAAATTAATTTTCCCCAAATTGAGCGTGTTTTGCCTGTGACAGTAATTGGAAAGTGATCTCCCAGTCTTTATCTTAACCCATGACCTTTTGCATCTTATTTCCCTGCCTTGTCCTGTTGAGGAGGCGGAATGAGAGAGCAGCTGGGTGGGTGTTTGGCAGCTGGCTCACGTCAACCCACCACACTGATCAAATGCAATGTCTTTCAAACTGCATTCTTTTCTAGATGACAAAAATGAAAAAGTACTGGGATGACAGGACAAGAAAATGGAACTCCAGAATGACAGCATCAAATGTGCAAATACAGAGTACTGAACAAAGAAAGTGCAAATCTACAAACCCTGTACAAATACTGTGTAGTGAAGAAAGAAAGTGTAAACCTATGAATCCACTGCAGTTTACCTGGGGACATGCTCATCATAAGTGATAGGTTGGTTAACTTCTGGGAGTGCTGATGCTGAACTCCTGTCTTCCTTGTCATCAGAGCCAATGCTAGGAACACATATGGATGTACTGCCATCAACCATGACCTATAATAGATATTATATAAAATTACTTGAGTTACATGATACATTTAAAACAGTAACATGCTGCTGAACTATAATATGATCTATCCCAGTGAAAGAGACAGAAAATACATATTTCAGGTTGAGCAACCTGGAATTCACAGGAAAAAGAAACAAAGAAGAAAATGGAAAAGTGAAAAAAGCAAACCAAATATTTCTAGAAAGACATGCTATATCATAAATGCTAATATCACATGTTGATATTTAATAAATGCTCAAGGATTGTTAGTTGTCAAATGGGACCATCCATGCTCACATTCCATCTTCAATATATATATCTGCAGGCATCAGTAGGCAAATTCACACAAAAATACTCACTTGCTGGTCAAGCCAGGTAACTGTATACTCAGACAAGTAACGATGTACCTCTGTGAGGTACATATATGTATCTAGGTACCTACACCTACACACAGAGATACACACAAATATATACATAAGTATATATAAATGTCTATATGATAATACATTAGTTAATAATTACAGAGTACATACATATATACTTATATATATGTGTACATATAAATGTGTGTATATATATAAAAATGTGTATATACATACAGGTGTGTGTATATATTCACCTATATACAGGTATATAGGTGAATGTATGTATAAATATATACCCCTATATATACACACATTTACATACGTGTTGACATATGAAGAGATACAAATTATATATACATGCATTATATATATTTATCTATCTACCTATATATATGTGGTGTATACATGCATGTATAAATATATACACAGCTATATACATGTTGATATATGAAGAGATATAGAAACAGATTACATATTTATATCTATCTACCTGTATATAGCTATAGATATATATATGGGTATATATGTATAGAGGTGTCCCATTTAGGCATTTATTCACTTAAAAAATATGGTCTCAGATAATCTGAGTGAATTTCTACAGTATTTCCTTCTTGTGATTATTAACTTACGTCCATTAACATATGCACACAAGGCATAATAATGCCTCTAATTCGTAGTGTAGTCAGTTGAAGGACAGATGCCTTTGGAAGATGCAGTTTAAACCAGAGTGATTCAAAGGGTGGTCCATGAACTGAATCTTACATACCCAGTCCACACCCATTTTGCTGCAGTCTCAGGTGTGACTATAGGACAGAGGAAGAACCAATCCTATTACACCTGTAGCTGGTTGCCATCCCTACCAAGCATTAATCTCACCTTTCTTACTACAGTGTTCCCCCCTCCCCATCCCTTGTGTTCACTGCTCCCACAATAGCTTCAACTGCCCCACAGCCTCCTCAACCTCCTTCCTTCTGTTCCCTAAGTATCAGCTGGGAAAAAGCAGGATGTGCTGATGCTGAAACCAAGCAACTTCTGTGCTGCTCTGAATTGCATTGATTTTGTAGGAACTTGGTATCTTTGAAATTTCTACCCCTCTGTTGATCACTTCAAAATTTGTTTTTGGAGAGATTGACAGATAGCATTGATTTGTATAAGCACTGTTTCTTCAGCCTTGGAAACCAAGTTAAAAACTGTATTTAATGCATATGTCCAGCAGAACCTTGCTGCTGTTTCACAGGAATCTGGGAAAATGGTAATGATTACAATTGCAACAATAGAAGTATACTCTAAAGGTGTCACATTTAGAATTTTTAATTAGAACCTTTAATTAGAAAACAGTATGTAGGTCACAGACACTTAGATGATGTTTCCTGAACTCAAAACTAAGTACTATGAAAAGCCAATATCCTCTCTCATTTTTAATCCTCATTTGCAGAGATAATGTTTTGCTGTAAGACAAATCACTCTAATTAAGGTAACTTTACAGGTGAGGTAAACTCTAGACCATGTGTTTTATTTCAATCTCTCTAAAAAGGGGGAAATACCAAAAAATAGAAATCCGTCACATCCTCAAGAACACTTCAGAGACCTGATTCAGGACCTGTTCCTTCTGACTAGCTAGGCTACTTCAAGTAGTAATAGTGCTACAAGGCTACAAGCTGACTTTGAGAGGTGTTTATAAGGTAAAATTACTTAAAATGCACAAACTTGTTTCCATCTATGTATTTTACCTTGAAAAGATTTCCTTCAGGATCTAGCATCTCACAAATAGTGCTGGAAGTGTGTTTCATAATGTATTTCCCTGCTTGTTTCTCTTCTTTCTTGCTGATGAAATTGTTAACTTCATGGGTATAAACTGCTGAGCAATCTTCATCAATGAAAAGAGAGCCTGTCTTGATTGGTAAAACCTATCACAGTAAGACGGGAAGAGGTTCAGTTCTGAAAGGTGACATCTTCAGTTTAGAGGTACCATGAAAGTAAAGAACAGATGCAAATCAAGAGGAGAGCTCTCAGACCTTTACTACTGGATCATCCAGTTTTGAGGGACTAGAGGGAGAGAAAGAAGGAAGATGAGGTCTAGGAGTCAGGCTGATGTTAGTCTCTGTAATATTTTCTTTAACTTTAGGAATTTTCATCTTGCGATTTAAATATACTATACAGTTGTGAGGAAATATCATAGAATCATAGAATAATTGGAAGAGACCCGTAAGAATCATTGATTCCAACTCCCTGCTCCTAAAACTAAATTATACAACTAAGAGCATCGTCCAGATGCTCCTTGAACTCTGACAGGCTTGGTGCCGTTACCACTTCTCTTGGGGAGCCTGTTCTAGTGACCACCCTCTCAGTGAAGAGCCTTTTCCTAATGTCCAATCTGAACTTCCTCTGGCACAGTTTCACTCCATTTCCTCATGTCCTGTCACTGGTCACCAGAGAGAGGAGATCAGCACATCCCCCTCCGCTGACTCCCTTGAGGAAGTTGTAGACTGTGATTAGGTCACCCCTCAGCCTTCTCTTCTCCAAGGTGAACAAACCGAGTCACCTCAGCCACTCCTCGTAAGTCTTGCCCTTGAGACCTTTCACCATCTTGGTTGCCATCCTCTGGACACACTCTGATAGTTTGATGTCCTTCTTTATATTGAGGCTCCCAAAACTGCACACAGTACAGTGTAGGGTGGGACAATCACCTCCCTCGACCAGCTAGCTATGCTGTGCTTGACGCACCCCAGGACATGGTTGTCCTTTTTTGCCACCAGGGCACACTGTTGATTCATATTCAACTTCCATCCACCCAAACCCCTACATCTCTTTCCACAGGGCTGCTCTCCAGCCTCTCATTCCCCAGTCTGTACATATAAGCAGGATTACCCCATCCCAGGTAGGAGAATCCAGCACTGCTTTTGTTATGTTTCATACAGTTAGTGATTGGCCAGCTCTCTAGTCTATCCTCTTGACCCTTGAGGGAGCCCACAGCTCCTCTTAGCTTAGTATCATTGTCAAACTTATTTAATGTACATCTGATTCCTATGTCCAGATCACTTATAAAAACATTAAAGAGCACTGGCCCTAAAATTGAGCTCTGGGAAACCCCACTGGTGACTGGCTGCCAGCCTGATGTAACCCCACTTACTATAACTCTTTGAGCTCAATCCATCAGCCAATTGCTCATCCAATGTATTATGGACTTGTCTATGTGTGTGCTGGACATTTTGTCCACAAGAATATTGAGAAAGACAGTATCAAAAGCTTTGCTAAAATAAAAAAACCAAAACACATCTACTGGCTTCCCTTGGTCAACTAGATGGGTGACATAATGATAAAAGGAAATTAAGTTAGTTAAGCAGGACTTTCCCCTTGTGAATCTATGCTGGTTATGGCCAATGACTCTATTGTCTCTCAAGTGTTTTTCAACAACTCCCAGAATATCCTTCTCCATAATTTTGCCAGGCACTGAAGTGAGACTGACAGGCCTGTAATTACCAGGGCCTTCCTTCTTACCATTCTCGAAAACTGGGACATTTGCCAGCTTCCAGTCGACTGGGACCTCCAATATCTAACTATTGGCAAAGTATAAAAGAGATGGAATCATAGGACTTGTGAAGATTATGGAGAAGGGAGTTAAAATAGTCAAGGTGAGAGACACTGATGGCAGAGACCTTGGAACACAAAGATACATTTCACTGTCACAAAAATAATTCCCACCTGATATGTTCCCTGTGGCTTTGCTATAATAGATGTCCCATCTCCAAAGATGGTACAACAGGTACCCTCCTCACAATTTGTTATAACAGTAGCAAACTCTGGATTCTCTACTTGCGTACATTTCACCTTCCTTGTGATGGCTTCCAAGGGTTCATCTAAGTATTAATACAGAACAAGAAGACAGGAGCACATGAACATGAAAAGTCTTAGGATTCAATTTGCTTTTTCTCTCATAAGACTGGACCTTTATCTCCTTAGTAAAAGACCCTCATACTTCATAACACCCTTTATCACATCATTTTATGTTAGGTAAACAATATGCAACCTTCAAATTTTTGGACTGTGCACTGAATATAGGAAAATCCAACAGCAGAACATGTGTGTAACCATCTGTGGCTAGTGTGGTGAGGACAGTACTCTAATTTATCAAGTACAGTACTAACCATAATGATCTGGATATTTGTAATATACAAGTTGGACCACTGAAATTTTTTATGCCTGTGATACAAGCTCTAAGATGTGAAGAAATTCCTTTTCAGCAGCAGAAATCAAGGAAAACAAATCAAACTTCCCATGGAGCAGGCAGACCAGTTCGAGGTCATTGTTTTGATTTTTAAAATTCGACAGAGAGATGTTCTACAACCAGAACTTTCTATGGTTTTGAGCACAACATTCCTGACACCCACACAGTAAATACACTTTTCATGTTAATTACAGAACCTATCCAGCAACTGAACTAATCGTACAGAATATACCGACAGCCAGAAGAAACATAGGTGACCATTAGTCCCACTTGTTTCAGGTGAATGTAGTTTCACTTCTACTAGGTGTGGCATTTTCCACAGCTGTATTCAATCACATTTTGAATACCTCCGAGGTTGGTGAGTCCATGGCCTCTCTAGGGAATATGAGGATATCCTGGTTCTCACATACCTAATCAGTTAAGACTCAAATCAGCTTGCTGCTTGTATCAGGGTAGGAAGAGAGTGGACAATGAACTTAGAATTCAGGCACTGTGGTCTCATGGTGAAGGTGCATCATGCAAGTATATACATGGAAAGAAGGAAATTTGCTTGTTTGCTACAATGTAATTTTTGCACTGAATACTGATTAAAAAAAAAACAAAGCAGACAAATTAAGCTTAGAATGCACTGGTGGATTTGTTATCTAGGCTATTGGTATGAGCCTTCTTTAGTATATTTTGACAATTACTTGCTTCACAAGATATACCAGAGATAAGTGCTCCCCTTTTGATTTTACCTGTTTGCTCACTATCCTCTGGTATAAATAGTTCTTCACAGTTTTGATAAAAAGTCGTGATCCTAGTACCATCAGCATGATCTACTATTGTGCTGCCATCCAGCTTCTCAACAATTATCACTTCATCGTCTCGTACAGTCATAACCTGAAAGAATGACGGAATACTCACTTATATTAGCTCTGTGATACTTTTAACAGCAACAACTGTAAAACAAGGCATTATGTACTGAAACTCTGATGAAGCTAGACTACTGCAACTTTATCTACTGCAGAGACAGAGGACTCACATTTTCTTCAAAATCTAAAGCTTTTGTATTAGTAACAGTGTAATAACACAATCTGTAGGATATATGTTCAAAGAACAAATCCTATAACTTATACGATAGCAGCCCTGTCTCTTAGCTTAGTAGCCAGTGCTACAATAACACAAAAGTAGTAATACCGTTCCATCAGCTGGGTCAGTTGCCTGATAGGTTAAAACTGGTTTCAGATCCATTCTCTTTGCTCCCTCAGTGCCCACTCGAATGCCTGATGGAGTTGTTGTTATCCAGGTTCCTGCCTGGTTCTCCTTAGGTTGCTCAGAATTAACCAGACCCTGCACAGTATCTTCAAACAACTCGTCCTTGTTTGGGTGTGATATACTGTTTCTGTCACTGCTTCTTGCTGCAGAAAGAAAAATTTCTGTATCAGACTTGGTATTCTCTAAAGCAAAATACAAAATCAATAAAGTGAAGAGTTTCTGTGAGTATTGGTTTTGACAGCACTGAAAGAAGAACTATTTATCAGGCTGGTGGAAAATTACAAGTGCTGTTACTCAAAGGTGTGCCCTTGAACTAATCTTATTTAATGTGTTCATTAATGACACAGAAAAAGTAAACAGCATGCTAATGACATCTGATTATGGCATGACTTTGGAAGGGAATATCGATGCAGAAGAAAAGCTGAATGGATTACAGGAAAAAAAGCATCCAAAACTGTTTCATGACCTTGAAGATTAAAGTAATAGGAATTTGATACAGCCTATTAGAATTAAATTTAATGAAATGAATGCAATTTGAAAGGAATAAAAATAATTTATGCTTCAGACAAGTTTGTTACAGTAGAAGAAAAGAAAGACCTGGAGGTATTGTCTATACAGAATGACTACAAGTTATCAGTGTGAAAATACGGTGACAGAAAAGGAAAACACAATCCTGTGGTGCACCAGAAGAAAAGGGATGGAGATTCCATTGTGAAAGAGAGATCTTACTAAGAATGTGATAGAGAACTCTGGTCTCCCATATTCAAGAAAAAGAACTTAGGCTATGTGAATGCAAAAGACAACAGCGTAGCCCTGAGAGGAGTATAAAAGGCTTACAGCATATACATCCCAGGGAAAAAAACAAAAAAAGTCTAAAAGAGGTGAAATTTTTCACTATAAATTTGTCAAGAGTAAGCAGTGGAGAGGAAAGGTCAGCGGAAAAAGTGATCACAAATACAGGATAAGGAATAAAGGATATGCACTGGCCACAGATACTGAGATTGAAAATTAGAAGATGGTGTGCCGAGGCAGTTCTCAGACACCCTTCCAGTTATCCTAAGGAATATCCTAAGAACAAGGACTGGACTTGATGACTTGACAGTTTTGTTTTGAGAGATTTTTCTCTTCAGCAATTTTTATTCACATACTTCCAATAAATTATACATTAATATTATGACACGTCATAATTATTCTTTGTGCTAAGGAGCACTGAAAGTGATGCTGGACTACACTCTGAGGTATGAAGTAAACTATTATTTGGTTATTTCTCAGCCAATCAAAATTATGTAAGAATGGTTATATTCCATATATTCCATATTCCACAAGTCCATACAACCAATTAATAATGACCAATAGTAGGTGCCTTGGAATACATACAATGAGAAAGAAAAACATAGTAAGTCCTCTGTGAGAGAAGTATTTCTCAATATCAAGACTAAAAACTGTGTAACACATAAGGATTTAACACTACTGTAGTTACAAGGATTTATTTTAAAATACTTTGTGTTGAATCACTCTGCTATCAATGTAGTTCCTATATACCCTTTTACTTATTAGAATCCTAGCATGTTAGAAGAAAAAAAAATCTGAAGTAGGAGAGAAATTATTTGATATGAAGTTAACAAAGTAGCAGTGTGCAGCATCCGAGTACAGATAAAAATGCTTTTTCACACTGGCAGAATTTTCAGACTGAAGAAATATGCCCTTTATTAGTACCATCAGCCCTTCTAACTTTAAATCTGTCCAAAACACTGGAAATGTTACCTTTCTTAGCGCTGGTCTCAGGCGAAGGCTCTGATTCTTGTAAGAGTTGCACGTTATCTGGAATTGTAGGTCGTGGTAGGAGAGGGCCTGAATCAGGACTCCTACTCACTGTGCCATCAGAAAACAGAATCTGCAAGCAATCAAGGACATACTAGAGATTAAAATCTCTTCAAACACTAACAGCAAGTCTCAAAAGAATGTGTCGCAAATGCAATAGTTACTAGGATATTGTGGGTGATGGGGGGGGAAATTAAAGGACTCAATGAATACAAGAAATAAATAAGCTATCTCAAAAAGAAAGGCCTGCTAATTGCTGCAGTTCACGTGTATTAATTAATTAATGGGGACTCTATTTAGTAACAAATAGGCATTATAACAGTAAATGGTAAAGATTGTTCTTTGACTATTTAAGTGGTATTTTTGTTTCGTAGCAGTGGTAATGCATCTGTATTGCCACATTGATGTGTATTCAGGTATTCAACATGTCTAGGATTGCTGTTAATTTTTTATCCATCAAGACAGCTAACAAAAAGAAGTCATGGTTATTTATCTTATCATAGGTTTCTGAGATCTATTGTCCATTACACTCTTGATATGCATGTTCCCTGTCTGGCAGAGAACAATCATCCCCGAATTAATTTACAAATACAGTACAGATGTTCTAGGGAGAAGACAATACAATGTAGAAAACAAATGGACAACATATAGAAACATCTCAAGAGTTACAGTTACTGTAAGGTAATTAGCTATTTCTTTTTTGAATGTTTATCTACACGCAATATATTCTTTATAAGTCACAAATATTAAGTTAATATAAAGAAGGACGCACTCATAATCTGTTTATACAAAGACTACGGTACAATCATGTTAAGCACATAAGATCTATATTATTCTGTCAGGAGATGCTATGTTGAGAATATATAGACATACAGCAGCTAGTTTCTTTACGTACTTCTGAAATGTATATGTTTCTTGGAAATCTTGGCTAAATGGTTTAAGATGCAATGTAATGAATGAATGTAAAGAGTACTAAGAGTTGTGGTCTACTTAGGAAAAAACTTGAGGAAAATAAGGAATTATTTTGACAGTTTCTGAATGAAAACAGATGATTCCTCTTTCCATCTGTTTGCTAACTACACATAAGTGTCTTAGACTTTAAAAAGACAGTTGCTTGTAGATTGATTACAGTTATCTGCAAAGATGGTACCTAGCCTATAGCACCTAAAAGGAACCAGAATTCTGGGCAATGTAATTACGTGAAAACAAAGAAGGTACTTGGGAATTAGAAGTCTTTTTTATTTAGGATACCTAAAGGTGTCTGCAGGACTGAAGAATAGTTCAGGTCTTTTCTGGATCCCATATGACTGTTTAGGCGACTGAAAAAATATATGGATGCTTTTGTGTTGCCAAAAATACCCAAAGCCTAACTAATGCACACTTCAGATGTTTAAGTCCAGGAATGTTGTTCTCAAAACCATATTCAGCTATTTCCTAATCCCAAAGTTGCCTAAAATCTTCACATGCCTAAAATTTTCAACATCAAAGCTCCCTATGTGCCTTAAGTTCTGATTCTGAACAAAGCCAAGAACATTTTAGTCTTGACATGGCTGCATAACTCAGTGGTTACTTAACTCCTTCATCTACATATTGGCCACTTCTCCATCTCAGTTGGCAAGCACAAGTTCAAGGGTAATCACATACAGAGACTGCATTCAATGAATTCTACTAAACATACCTGGGTAGATCCATCCATCATGTACTTTATGACAGTTCCTTGACTGGTGATGACTCTTGACACCTCTTGTTCTGTTTGCCTTGCCACAGATGTATACAGATGAGAGTTCTTTACCTTTTGGGGATAACTCTGCCTAACCAGAATTTCCAGAGTAGGTTGCTTGGTCTGCTCTCTTTTTGTATCTTCGTGCTTTATTTCACCTTCTGTAACCTTATGTTCCTTCTCTCCACTTTCCATAACCTCTTCTTCCTTTGTTTCATTTGCTTTGGCCTCACCTTTCTCAACTTCCTCTTCCTTGGATTCCTCTGCTTTGGCCTCAGTTTTCTCTACCACCTCTTTCTCAGCTTTAGCTGCAATGGCTTCACCTTTTAAATCTGAAAACAAATTCTGAATTACTTAATACTGTGTAGCACACCTTCAAACAGTGGCAAACACCCAGCATCATGGTGTCTACAGAAGCTATGCAACATTAGGTGAGTAGAACTAACTCTCCTTGGCTTCCTCTGTAATCCACAGAGTAAGGGACAGACTTTTTCAGAGAACAATCAAAGCAGTAATCAACTCAGAAACTCTGCATCCTCCTGTGGAGGTGTCAGTCTTTTGAAATGAAAATAAGGGAAATTTGAAGATGGATTTGTTATGGATGCTGAACATCTAGAAGAACAACATTAGGTGAGAGGAATTTCCTAATTGTCCATAAAGGTGAAAAAAGTTACTGAGTTTCACCAAATTTGAGTTTGTATAGAAACTGAAGTTAGATATTTCGTCCACTTGAACAAAAAAGGTTTTTAAGATTAAATTATGGCAGTGTGCTAATGCGTATAATTATGGCAGTTGTGTCAAGAGAGTACATGCAGGCATACATAATTGCTCTGTTTACCTCAACTATTCAGCATTTCAACTTAAGCTCCTTGCCAAACTAGGTATGTTTGAAAACCCTCTGCATCCTCTTTACTTCATACCCAATTGATTAGAGCACATATACCCTAAACTGGCAAAATCTGCCAAGCTGGCTGCATCTGCAGGGGCATTACTAGCAGAGACAGAGATGTGATCATCCCGCTCTACTCAGTGCTTGTCAGGCCACACTTGGAGTACTGTGTCCAGGTCTGGTTCTCACAATTCAGGATCCATATAGACTGGAGAAGGTCCAAAGGAGGGCCACAGAGATGATCAAAGGCTGGAGAATCTGTCCTATGAGGAAAGACTGAAGGAGTTAGGTCTTCTCCCTAGAGAATGCTCAGGGGAGACCTCATCATAGTCTTAAAGGGTGGCTACAAAGTACCTGTTATCTTCCAGTACTTAAAGGGTGGCTACAAAGAGGACAGAGGCTCTCTCTTCACAAGGAGCCACATGGAGAAGACAAGGGACAATGGGTACAAGTTGCACTGTGAGAGTTTCATATCAATATAAGAAATAAATTTTTTACAGAGAGAACAATCCTGGGACAACCTCCCCAGGGGCATGGTAGAGACCCCATTGCTGGAGGTTTTCAGGATGCGATTGGACAAGGTGCTAGAAAATCTCATCTAGGCTCCCTTTCCCACAAAAGGTTGGACCAGGTGATCTTTTGAGGTCCCTTCCAACCTGGGATGTTCAATGATTCTGTGATTTTGATATGAAAAGGAAGGAGATGTCTGAGGAGAAAAATGAGGGAAGCTTTTACTAGTAATTCAGATCTCTGTGGGAAAAAAAAAACAAACCACAAGACATTCTTCTCTCACATGATTATAAATTTGTGCTGGATGCTTGTGTACCATACTACATTTATTAATGTTACTTAATATAAAATTCTAATTTTTTATTAATTTAAAAAACAGCTAAGTATATATAAAAGGTGTGTTGTTATATTGGTTGCCAGGAAAACAAATGATTCTGCTGTTTTTTATGCAACAGCTCATGCATAGGATGTGTTGGAATTACTGCTAGCACATACTTGGTGTGTGTGATAAATCTGGTTTATTCCTGGATATGGGCACCTCTGCAGTTGTGCTGATCTATTTTCACATACTCAGTATCTCCAATACAGCCTGGGCTGAAGAGATTTGTTGTACATAAGTATTAAATGACATCTGTAGGTGGATGTTTTTAAAATTGACCTGATGACAACAAAATTCAGATTTGTCTGCTTCAAAACCTAACAGCATGACTACAAAACCCCGAGATTTACTACAGTTTACAGTATGCAAAGATGAACCTCATGCTGGTTTTCAAAAACACTGGGAAATGAAACATTGCAGAAGGATATGTCAGGCACGGAAACTTGTAAGTATCTATATAACCTATCAAAGTTTTAAAAAAAATTCAACGATAAGCGCAGAAAGGCTTATTAAGACTGTCTTCTCTATATGCACATGATTGCATAAACTAAAGGACTTACATGAAATTATTTCTGTTTGAAACAGATTGTATCTTTTAGAAAGGCAACAAAACCCGATTGTAAAATATCCAGTAGCAGAGAGTCCATCACAGTGTGGGTTAGTTTTGTTAATCATTCTTACCATTAAAAAATTAGTATAATTTAAATCCAGTATAAAGTACTACTTTTCAGTTTCAAGCTCCTGAAATTTATACCTTTGTATACTATGTTTACAAGCTATTACCAAAATTCGGTTTCCTTGTACTTCCAGACTGGTACCATTCACTCCTTTGACCTTTGTTTTGGTAATTACATTGAGTTGTCTGGTGACATGAGCTCACCATAAAATACATCTTCCAATGCTTTAATCATTCTTGTTACTGTTCCCTCAATCTTTCAAAATATGAACATCTTGTGTTGTGGACTTAAGAACAGTACATACGATTCCAAAGGAAGTGCAAATATAGGTAACATAACAGTCTTCCTGATATCACTCAAGATTCCTTGATATATATGCATTTATGAATTGAGTGTGTTAGTTTTTCTTTAGTATTCCAATATACGTGCATTTTCAAGTGATCATCCAACATGACTCCCAAGTGCTTTTTAGGGTTGCTGCTTCCCTGCCCCAAATCTGTTATGTCCAACAACTTGTAATTCTAGATTTTACATTTTTTTAATTAAAACACATTATTTATGTTGCAAATACTATTAAATAGACATTATGACAGACATCAATTTGAGACATTAAAAATTCATAGTTACATCTAAACCCATCAACGCAATAATAATTTTCTTCTGTAATTTTAAATTCTTTTTAAATTCCTTACTTTGCAGTGGCTCAGAAAACTAACCTCCAAAACTTTCACCAAGGAAAGTTAATACTAGTCCATTGGGACAGGAGATGTTCAAACTTGGGAAAGCAAGAGCATTTGACATCATTTGCATTTGGGAAGCTCCTCCCTCCATTTCCATCTACAGAACAAACCATGAATTAGTTTTATTCCACATTTTGAAAGAATAAAGAAAAAATTAGATACAGATTTCTGTTGTAACAAAACATTAAAAAAAAAGTGTCTTCTACCACGCGTTTTTAACATTTTGAGAGTATGGATTCTGAAGTGGAAACATTAGCTGATTTTCTTTGATTATGCTATCTTCTTTCATTCCTCTTTATTAACACTTGAAGAACAACCCATCCTAACTTTATTCATTTTGCTGAGTCATTATGCTATCTTGTGCACAGTGCCAAGATGAGATGACAATAAATGGATGTGAAGCAGAAAAGCATGAAATAATTCTTGAAGTTGCACATCAGTTATTTTACCTATAATCATCAAAAGAGCACAAAAGTAGAGCAGTACTTCCAGTCTGCTGCAAATACAGCACTGACTTGAGAAGGGGACAGGAAGGAATGTTTGGCAGTCAAAACATGTAACTCTCTTTGTGCTGCTCTGTAGTGGAAACTGTTCTGATGACTAGAAAAGATGAGGTTGATCTAAGGAATGCCTGAAGACCCTGGCACATTTGGGAAAAAATGCAACAACAGACTCCTTAATGTCACCCCCCAAGAAACCTAGGTGACAATTAATTATATATTAATATATATTAATTTATTGACAGCATGGCCATGGAATAAACAATTAATTATACTATGACAGTAAGTCATAAGATGAAAAGAGTTTTGAGTTGCAGACAGAGGTAACAGAGAGAACTTGTCCTGATATTACTCTATATTCTTGATTTTTAGGAATGGAAATATAGGGGAAAATAGGCAGATGTTTTGCCATCTGTTTTTCAGCATAAAGAATGCTGTACATTTTATGGTTACTTTACATAATATTACTGGGTAATTAAGGCTACTTTCAATACCCTAAGATCGTAGTCAGAGTCATGGTGTAGAAGTCACAGAATAGGGCAGAAGTAACCTTCAGTTGTCATATTTCTCCCTGTCTAATGGTAAAAAAATAAAATCAACTATACCTACATTGTTAGAGAAAACTGGTAATGTAATCTATTTTAAAAATTTCCAGGTCTGCATGTTTCCTGGAAATCTGTTCCAGTGCTTGACCTTGGTTAACCTTACTGACACTTTCCTATCAGTTAGCCTGAACCTCTCTTGCAGAAAATTAGTTTACTTCTGATTATTTCTTCTGATTAAATGGGCTAGCTAAGAGATGATGGTGTCCCTTTAACTCTCTACAGAAGGCTATTCTGTCCCTCAACTCTATATCAAACAAACCCAAGCCAAGTCTTTTAATCTTTCCCCACCAGTCAAGTTTTCTAGACATCCGATCTTTCCTGGTACTTTCTTTAAAACTCTCCACTGTGGCCCGTATTATTCTTGCAGTGCAGTATCCTAACTGGACACAATACTTCAACTGAAGCCCTACCAGCCCTACATGGAAAATAACTTCACATATTTAGCAGGATATACTCCTGTTTATTCACCTCAATGTGATCTTTGCCCTTCTCACAGCAAGATGGCATTGTTGACTTATGTATAGCTTGTGATCCATTGCAACTCTCAGACCTTTCTCTGTAGAACTGTTATTGGTAGAACAGTTACCCACTCTGTAGATATATATTGATTATTTATATGTAATTATAGAATGTAGCACTTATTCTTACTGAATTGCATCCTATTTTACAGACCATGTCCAGGTGAATTTGTCAAGTTCACTTTGGATTCTAATCCTGTCCTCCAAAATACCTGCAGACTCACACAGCTAGGTGCTGGGTGCTGTATGCACTAATATGGATACTCTCTATCCAAAGACATACTAAACCAAATAGTAGGAAGCCTTTTGGAATAAAAGGAAGAACTTGGATGTCCTCCAGACAGAATTTTAATGGTAGGGGTATTTGTGCCAAAAATTTGCTGTATGTTATGCTGAGTGCTGTTTGGCAACTCCCTATACCACTTTCCATGCTCATGCTCTTTAAATACCTAGGTAAACTTGTTGAAATTAGGTCAGCGGGACTTTTTGTGGATATGGACAGAATCCATGTTGCAACTAGAGCCACAGCATTACTTCACCCACTGGGTACCACGGAAGCAGCATAGGTACTGTTTAGAGAGTCTTCCAAAGGCTATTCTTACAACTCTCAGTGTGTATTCATTCTTGGCTTTCTTATTACGCTCTCCTCTCATTTGCTTTGTAATGGAAGCTATCTCCTGTTTCTACTAAACCTGCACTGTATTTAACCCTTTATTTCCATATTGCCCATTCTACCTCTTTGAACAGTTCAGCCCAGCTCTGTCAACAGAATTATGATCTCCTTTCAACCTCCCTTGCCAAGAGGACTGAGAAGATAACTCATAAGCCTCTGATGAGGGCAAGAGTGATTTACAGAGAAGTGGCTAAAAGTAACTGGAGTAGACAAAAGACCAGTTTTCCAAGACACAGTTCTGAAAAAAGGTGAACCTTTTCAGGGCAGTGCCCTAGAAAATGGTAACAAGAACTGAAGTAGAGTTTCATGAATGCCTCTGGAATTGGAAGCCACCACAGTTGGACAAACCAATGTTAATTTTCAATGGAGAAATTCTGAGGAATAGGACAAAAGAGAAAACAGTGCAGGAAAAGATCGCAGACCTGGTGCCACTCACATTCTTTACATTATCACTCACCAACCTATGGAAGAAGCAGAACATAAGAGGGAGGAATGACTGGGTTAATGGAAAATAATTGGTCATGAAAAGTATTACAGTAGATTGGACTTACATTTGGCTCAGGGTGAGAACCAAGATATTCTATTAGCAGTTCCTTCTGCATCATTTCAGCCGTACTTGATTAAAGATGGAACCAAGTAGAGGGAAATTTAAAACACTCCACTATATGCTTTAAAGATTTTTGCCATTAGTCTGGAAAGATATTAAGAACCACACCTAACAAGCACATTATCTAGAAATGTTACTCTTTTGTAACTTGATTAGGTCAAAAGGGATAGCTTTTTATCATAACTATCACTAAAGAATTATCCCAGTCAGTATATTTTAGAGCATTAGTGTTACATGAAACTGTTTATGGACCTCATTGCTTTGTGTTCTGATCATGCCTATTTTCAGAAGACTGTCCTTTCCTAAACTGAAGGTGATAATTAATTTGGTTCTCAATACTATTCATGTTCATTTCTGTCCTTCTCTCAGAGTTTGTTTTGTGTTTTAATTGTGTCCATTTCTGGGACAATGCTGGTTGGAGAAAACAATATCAAAAAAGAAAAGAGCTTAAATCATCTCAAAAAGAAAACTCCTGCATCCTCTTCTGCTACCCTGCTAATATCTCCTCCCATATTTCTTTGAGAACTTTTCATGTAACTCATGTAACTTGTACTCTGGCTTACCTGTGAGGTCACTGGATCAAACAAACCTCCTGTGGTTGCCTACAACATTCTGCCAATAGTTAGCTAATGACCTGAAATAATCTAGGTAAGTAATTTTGCAGAGGGGAACTGTGACCCGTTTCTGAACTGATATGGCCTCTCCCACTCACATGTTTTAATGCCAAAAAGCTTCCCAGTGTAACAGGTGTAACTGTAAAGCCAAAACTGACAAAAGTATGTGGACCATGGAAGACACACTGCTCTACATCATAGAGTTGTAAAAGCTAGCTTCATTAATAGCTGCCAATATGTACATCTGAGAACAAGTGGAAGAGTAAAACATATCCTTAGAAGCACCATAAATTGTTAGGAATTTGTTAAGGCACAGGTCAAAACCCTCTAAGAAGAATATATGCTTCTATTACGTAACTTTATGTACTTGAATTTTTTGTTTGTTTCTTTTCTGTGTTCATTGAACAATGTCTATTCTCTCACCTTTCCTCCTTCCTGCTTTACCAGGTCATCAGGTGGTGGAGGGCCTATTTCACTATGGCTTGCTTTTGTAGATGGTAGAGATTTTCCTGCTTTTTGTTTGACAGACTTATCTTTTTTTCCTGAAGCTGATGTAACAGGAGAAATTATGGTTGGAATATGAACAGAAGGGATGTTCAGAATTCTTGCTAGGACAGGATCTGTTTTATCATCTAAGGAAGGGAAAAACAGTATTTTTAATGTAATTAAGTTTCATAAATGTAGATGGCCACATTTTATTTCTTAACAAGATTTTGTACACTAAATTACCTTTGAAATAATAATCTCAGTGGGGCGGTTTATAACTTCAGATAGAGGGACTGAATGAAATTATTTAGAAAATCTTTCCATAGACTGACTACTCCTCAGCCTAAAAGGCATCTTGAAACTATTGTTTACCACAGGTCATCATTTCTCAAAAATAGAAAATACAATTTAAAAAATTCTCTTTTACCCCCAGAATTCTGAGATAGGTGGAGACATTTTTAGTCCAGGAAATTATCACTATTGTTATGCTTTATCATGTGCTGATTCAGCATGGACTGACTCCATCAGTTTCACACTACATAGCTCTATTTTGCTATAATGATTCAGAAAGATTCTGATAATCTAGACTTGTGAAGACTCTCTCAATTCTTAAAGGCCAAGCATTAGGGCAATCTGCTAAGTGTGTTGACAGGAAGTAGTCATGCTGCCTTCCAAAACAGTTTATTGAAAATAAAACTAATACAAACTAAGATTTTCTGTAAAATATTTTTTCGTCATTGAACTGACACTTCTCTTTAATCAGAAAAACCCAGTCAGTTCTAACCTTAATGCTTTTTTGAATGATTTTTTTTTTTCCCCAAACCATCTTGTCTTGCTTGAAGGCAGCCTAGGTCCCAAACCTACAACTCATGAAAAAAACACATTGTTTCCCATCCAGACAATTTAAGCAATTTAATTACTATTTGCTTTGGAAAACCCAGTACCTGAGATAGAGCAAGTTATTATCCACATTTTAACCACACCTATATAGATAAGAATTGAAAACACCAGTGAGCAAAACACGATGATGTCAGAAGCTATCTTTTGAAAACCTATTATTAAATAAATAAAACAAGCTTGATTTGCTTAGTAGTTTCTACAAAGTATGAAGTTTAAAAACAAGTCAGTCATTTCAAGAATGTCTTTAGGAAGACTTTCAAAAATCCCTTTTTTGTGGTGTTGGTAAAATTACATTTTAATTCTGCTTCTTCCAATGAACAAGCTTATTTAATGTGAAAACTGATACATCAGGCAAAGAAAAGTTAAATAATTCCTAGAGAAGTTGCAAGCCACATCACATTCAGACAAAGAACGAAAGAAATGCATCTGGAAGCATGCTAATAGAACCATTCTGGTGTGAGATCATAGCATTTTCTGTAATGCAGATGACGTGTTAGTATATTTTTGGCTGAAAGAGATAAAAGGTAAGCCTAAGTGCTCCTATGTCCACTGTTTCCAGAAAGGTTTTGGCATAGATGGTTTTAGCTCTGCAGATAAGAAAATGCAGAGGCCACCTTAAAAATAAGGCTGCCTGCATGTTCATTTGCTTTTTGGATGCTTCTGGTTTTATGGAAACTGCAAAGGTAACCTAAAATTTTAGAACCTAAGGCTAGAAGAAACTATTAGAACATCTGTTGATAAAGTCCTATTTAAGAGTCCATGGATAATAAGCCTTTTCCACCTCAGTTTTTAAGACTTCAATCTCAGTTTTTGTCTTGGTGTCAGCATTAGGGAAATGCACAGATATCTGAATATATCCATGAAAAGGATATTTCCCTGAAAGGAAATTTAGATTTTTGAAATCCCCATTTTCATTAGCTGATACATGGGAATCTGATGCTTTGTTACGTGACTCTGCCTTCGTGTACTGAAATTTATGCTGCGTGGCTTTTACAGGTTATTAGAAGTCTAATGAAAGATGAACAAATCTGTTTTATTTGTAATATGCTAGACATAAATTCTCAGCTAAGTATATAAAATAGGAAAGTTTAAAATTCTCCACTGAGTCCATCTGATACACATTTATTGACAGCATGGCCATGGAATAAACAAAGTGGTAGTACCCATCTCCAGCTGGATGGTGAGAAGAAACAGCTGACTAATGAACTTCGACAGAGCTAGTGCTCCACAGAGAAGTAGGACAGCCAAAATGAAGGATTCTGAGGCAACTGTCCAATAAAATCTTTAGCGAATGTAATCCATCTTGTCAGGTGAGTATAAATGTCCATGCGAGCACTGCAAACTGGGTATAAGGAAGTTCTTATATATAGTGAGGGGAGCTATACTTCACAGGTACCCATGCTATGAAGTGGAGCATGCTCAGTTTCAGATGACACTACTTTCTGAGTGCTGAATTTAGGAACAGAAGCTGCTATAGGCTCTTGAGCCCTAAGGAAATTTCACCTACTCCTTTACTCTTGTTGCCCTGAAAAATGAGAACACAGTGTATGAGGGTAACAACGAAAAAAGAGTGGACTGTTAAGACTGAGGGAAAGTGTCTTTAGAAATCTTGAGAGATGTGAAATTCCAGAGGACTGTCAGATTAAGGAAGGTTTCCTTCCTCCTGCACACACATACAGATCTCTAGCACTTGGAGTTGTACTCTCATGATTTCATCAAGGCACAAAGAGCAAGTGCAAAGGTTCTATAATACCCAGAGGCAAAAATCCCGCAGGTGCTCAAGCAGTTCACAAAGCTATGAGGAGCTTACTTCTAAGTCTGGTTGTAAGGTGGTCTGAAGTTAGATTTTGGTCATGCCAGAGAAAACAAATAATTCAAAACATAAACAAATACTAACATTCAACTAAGAAATAAAAAAGATGCATAAAGCCAGCAAACAGCCTGAGGCCTTTTGTCATCTTAGCTTCCCTAAAAGGAAGAGAGAAGAGATAAAATGAGAAAAACAATAAGAAAAATGCGAATTAGAGAGGTTCCAGAAAATTACTTCAGTAATGCAAGGAAAATGAGTAATTCACACCCAATTTAATCAATCAGTGGAGAGAAACTGCAGATTGCACAGCATACCATTCTACGGTAGGGACGGATGGCATATGAGAATATTCTGAGACAGAATATTTCTGGTCAGAATTTTTCAGAGCACTTACGATACTAACACCCACAAGAGGAATTAGCCATAAGTAAGTGATTGTAGAAAAACTGCAAACAATCAAAGAATGATAGTCAGCCGTGTTGCACTAAAGCTCAACATGGCAAGGATTATTCTAATGTAGAAGATGATGCTTAGAAATAGGATACATGTGAAAAAGCCTGAACATTACAGCTGACATGTAGGTGTTTAATTAGACATGTCTCTCTTATGCCAAAATACAAGTTTTCACAGGCCACTACATTGTGGATACTCCCTTGGCCCAAGTTTAAAAAGCCCATTTTTAGTAATTAATTTGTAAAACATATTTGAATAATTAAAACTGAGTGTATAGTTGAATGGTTTACCACAGTCCACACAAAGATGCATTCAATTAAATGTTTTCATATTTTAAGAGCTGAAAAATGTTGGGATTATTTTCTGATCAGAGGAGGGTTTTACTTTTATCCGTATGATGGTTTCAGTGGCCTTTCAGATGTAATGGAAACAAAAAGCTCTTGGTAAAAGCAGATGCTATTTTCACTGTGGTTTTGTGAAGCAATTGCTTCCAGTTGGTGAATGTGTTTATTGAAAGACTGAGAGAAATCCCTCATTATGTCTGCACAACTGTAACCTAAAGTCAAAATCCTAACATAAAATGAAAGTTCCATAATCACCTATATAAGTTTACAAAAATATTATTTCTTGGAAAACCAAGAAGACTCCTCAGCAAATCACATTTTCTTTGGCTCAAATTAATTGGCTGATTTTGCTGAGCTACTTAATAACAATACTTGCAAGTTTCTCCTTGCACTGCTCTGTTTTCACAGTAAGTAAAAAAGCATGGAGACCTCCCTCCATTTTGAAATTTGAATCATAGAACATTCTTGACAATGTAATCTCATCTTGAGCCTTGCTGAAAATTCCCCACCATGTAGTAACAGCTGCTGAGAAAGGCAGAATTGCATGCAACAAATTATTGGGTTAAGGAGTGTATGAAGAAAAAAAAAAATTCCCCTATGGTTCTCAAATATCCTCTTCTATTTGCTTACTTTACCTGATGTCTTCCCTGTAGGTCCATAATAGCTCAGGGACAGCTGGATTCCATTTTCCAAGGTGGCTGAAAAAGATCCAAACTTGCTCACAGCTTTCTTTCGATTTTTCAATTTTCCTTTAAAAATATTAGAATGAATTTTAAAGATAGCAAAACATACCAGAACCACCTGCCCTGCAAACCAATGACTGGTGTGAACAGTGGCACCTAATGTGGATGACTAACCTGTAAAATAGATTAATATAGAATGGGGAAAACCATATCATTCCATTCATAAGGTAGTATATAATAATCAGTTTTGCATAATAGAGCTGTTAACTTTAATCTAGAAATTGCATTTGAATTAGTTAGGTGTGTAAAAACAGGTTTAATAGCAACAACTAGCAAAAAGTCTTTGTGAATTTAAACAGAAGAACATAGCTCTTGAGTCAAAAATCCTTGTTTCCATTCCCCACTTGGCTGACAAGAATGCTAAACTGCTCATTTCTATCATGTGGCCTATGCACTAATAAAAGTCACTGTCTCAGATACTGTCACAGGGACCATACCTTGAGGAGAAAGTAAAAGAAAGGAGAAAAAGTTGAGAAATTAGATCCAAAAATATGTCTGGCGTTTGTGAAAGTGGATTGGGAGACAAGCTCACTTAGAGGTGCAAGACAAGATGTCATGTCATGAGTACGTAAACCACATGAACTATGTCAGGTAACACCTCCTAGACAATGACACTGGATCCTACCTTGCCTCTAGTTCAACTCCTACTGCCTTAAAGAAACGTTCTGCTGGTAAGAAGAAATCCTAGGGATTTCCAGGATGGGGAACAGCTTCTTAAAACTGTGAGAAGCAGCAAAGACTGCAAAAGAAGGTTAAGGCAGGCACCCAATACCTAGCCATCTCCCGGTTCTTTCATGAACAAGGCACACGTGCTGAGACCTTTGCTCCTTTTTACTGTCTGTCATTGCAATGTTAATTGGTAACTATCACCTGTAGGATGCTGTGTTGACACTTTGACTGCATTAAAAGCATACCATTGTACCATTCAGACACTGCAAAGTATTAGAGTGGATTGATTCTTCTCTTTTCTACTGCCTTTCTACAAGGTACTCCTGTTTACACAGGAGTAAAGCCTCTCACTCATGCCAGGTGAATACAACTTGCCTCAGAGGCTAACACCCTGGTGACTGAAAGTACCATCTGGCAGACCCCAGAGTGATACGGGACTACTTTCAGAAGGGCAGACAAGAAACATCTCATCTGTGGAAGGGATAAAATTTTCTATTCAAACAACCTACAATTACATCACTGGTGGCAGCCGAAGCCAAGGAGAGCAGCAAGGGCAGGACGTTTTCTAAAGCTAGCTCTAGATTAAAAGAGCTAACACATCTACGAAAAGCTATACTTTTCCAACACTCTTCAGTTCACTGAAAGCAATTCCATGGTGCTTTTGGCAAACATATACACAGATTGCTACAGGCTGGCATCCTTCTTGGAAACACTCTCATCTGGATTCAGAAAGGATTTGGATTCAATGCTTTCTGAGTGTTAGCAATATGTCAACTAACAGTAGAAGTTGCTGAACTGCAGAAAGATCTGTTTCCACAGCAAAGATCTTGAGGAGGCACTAACGTTATGGTCATCTGACCCACAAAAGGAGGTCCAGTTCAAAGGGGGAAGTCTTCCCTTTCAAGGGCAGGTATTTATTCTGGTCACAATGGACATGACAGTTTGCATTTTCTTAGGCTTTCCCAGGCCACATTAAGATCTGCATGAGTCCTCCGCTAAAGAAGAAAATTATTTTCTTAAGGAATGGTGACTCTTTTCATTGATTTCCTTGCTTTGGAAAAGAGATTGGTTTGCATCTGTTGACCTGTACTGTGCTTCTACATCTTGGTAAGATCTCTCCACATGGTGCTTAAGTCAGCCAACTGGATTTTTACTTGTGTTTACAGAACACTGATCTTAATTACCCTCTGCCATTAGGAGGAATTTATGGGGACAAACTTTTTAGCAGGGCCTGTAGCGATAGGACAGGGGTAATGGTTTTAAACTAGAAAGAGGCTCGATTTTGACTAGATAGAAGGAAGAAAATTTTCACAATGAGGATGGTGAAACACAGCAACAAGTTACCCAGAGAGGTGGTATTTGGTCCATCCCTGGAAACATTCCAGGTCAGGTTGGACAGGGCTCTGAGCAACCTGATCTGGTTGAAGACGTCTCTGCTTGTTGCAGGGGGGTTGGACTAGATGACCTTTAAAGGTCCCTTGCAGCCCAAACTATTCTATGATTCTATGATTACATGTCAAACTATTAATTCTTTATATCAGTTATGTCAATCCACGGACCTGATATAATTTTCTGTTCTTCATTGATTTCTTGCACTTCGATTTCTTTTAAGTTTTTCTCAGGGTCTGTGATATGAATGAAGAAATTGTGGTTGTCTTTTATCACCTTCACCTTTACCAAAGTTAGACCTGCAAAGCAATGGAATGCTATTATTGCTCCCATCAGGCTTCAGAACTGCCCCACACCCAAAAAACACCCTGCACCTGCAACTATAAAGCACACAAAAAAGAAAATTGCTCAGAAGTGGAATGAATTGCTTTGTAGTAGATGAAGAAGACACAATTAAGGTTAGCTGAGTTTGGACTACATATTCAACAACTTCCTGACAATTAGATCTGAGAGGCTGCAGTATAATCCCATTGCTTAGATGTATTGCATTTGACTGGACAAATTATTGGAAAATGCATACTTCGAATATCATGCATTGGTTGCCATTGAACAGATAAATATGAACTGATTTTTTTTTAATTTCTGATTTTCTGGTACTTTATCTATCAATTGTTAACATACTACAGGAAAATGTAAACATTAGTAGTGACAGAGGCTAATATGGAATTACATGGTACTCTCACAATATCTTTAACTGAATTTCTACTACTGAAACATGAAAAAGCATTTATGGATTAAGAAACTATGCCATTAGTTAGTAACTGAGTCAAAGCAGAGCACAAAGCATTAAAGAATCACCTTTTACAAATTCTATCTTCTCTACTTGAATTTGTCCTCCATCAGATGGGAAAAGATACTGATTGGTTCCTGATACTTGAATGAGATCCTCCCCTGTATTGTAGCCAAGAAACTGGAAAAACAAGTTTTAGATTATGCATAAACGAGAAAGACAGAAGCCATGAAAGAGGCAAATGAAGGACAGATCCTCAGGATCCCACTGTTCTGGTCAACATTTTTTACTTAGATATTTAACTAACGTAATAACAACTTTAGCAAATACATAGCATGTTATTCTCATATCCAAATAAGTTCTCAGTTACTAACTGAAGTAACTTGTTATGCATGAGAGCAGAATCTGGTCCTTCAGTGGCATGCAGTCATCATGGAAACTGAAGAGTAGCAAGTAGACTGGTGGCTTAACATATAATGGTAAGAAAAGAAAAATTTTGGCCAATTACAAAGAAACAAAGTACAATGCCATGTGATCAGATAAAGGGTAGATAAAGATTCAGCTTTCTACCCTCTAGATTTTGGAATTCAAACACTGTAAATCTGATTCCTAGATTGCTGTGCCTTCCAAAGAGACACAAACTAGCAAGAACTAGGTGAGTGCACTCAGTAAGTTCAGCCTGAAACGTGATATATCCGAGTTTGAATTCTATACTCAAGTTTAGACAAAAATATATTGACCTACGCAAGTTTTGGATGCAATGCTTAGACTCTTCAAATATAAAGCAGTGAAAACTGCCTAAAAACTGTTTGGACACAACTAGAGCAGAGTTCCCTCTGTAAGAAATATCCCTCTTTCAGTATAACAGGCAGAATACCTTGTATGTAGGCACTCCAAGAACATGAATTTTGAAATAGGAAATGGAAGAAACAGTGAACTCCTTTTACTTGATTCCAAATGTGGACAGCCAGAACTTAACTAGGTCTAGCAGTCCCTGAATATGGGAGTTGGAACATGTCTTTATGTTCCTCTTTCCTATTCTCTCCCATGAAAATCTCATTTTTAGGCAAAATTCATCCCATAAATATACTTTCCATGGGCACAAAACCATGATCAACTTATCTTGGTGTTCATATCATATACGCAAAAAATATCCAAGTTAATTAAATAGTCTTGTGTAGAATAACCTTAAACATCAGAAACTGTTTTCCATAACTTTTAGGAAAAGATCTGCTGCTAAAATGATGGAGTTAGACAAGACCTAGTTAGGCTTAATTTGCCCTGAACTCCAATTTCACAACTGATAATAGCTTTGCTGTAATTTTGACTCTATATATAAACAGAGTTTATATATGTTTATAAACATATAAACACTTTCCTAACATGGTGCAATAATATGACTCCTTACCTTATAAACTTTCTCAGAATGTGGTTCTGGGATGATGGGATCCTCCTCAAGTTCAGGGGCTTTTGCTGGCTCATCTTTAAATTTCTCTTTGGAAGATTTCTTGTTGGAACCTTTACTTTCTTCATGTATTATTATCTCCTGTCCTTTCATTTTACCTCCCAAATTTTCTTTTTTTCTTTTGTTTTCTTCCTTAAGTTGTTCTTCCTCTAGTAATCGGTCCTGCTCCTCCTTCCAAGCCTACATTAAATGTTAGGAATTCAAATTATTGTGGTTCTCTTTGTATTAAAAGATATTTTATATGTGCATGCTGAAAAGAGTGTAAGTAAACAAACTCAAAGAAACCGATGTTCTAAGTCACTTGTGTTTTCCAAACACATCTACAGTTTCACAATATTACACACTATATTTTGCATAAAATTACTGACTCATTCAATCCACAGTATCAGTCATTCTTGACCACAGCAGACATAACAGATGATTATTTGTATCTTACACATTCAGACATTTGGTTGTGCACTTTTCCACAATCTTTATCACCAAATCAGAATGCATCACTGGTATTAGTTTATTCAAAAAATGCAACTGTGAGATAAAATGATTTTATTCTTTTATGGAAAGAGGAATGAGGTATCAGTGCCAGAATTACCAACTTGTATCAGGAAGACAAGAGACATCCGAGATTTTCCAGAGTATTTAGGGCTTTGTAACATTTATATTCTAAACATACCAAAGCACAAGCATTTCTGTGGAAGAAATGGTAAGCATTCCCAGTTACAAGTTAGGCACTAGCCTAACTTGAGCTATGCCACCTCAAGTTGAGTACCCAGGAACTGATTAATGCCATTTCATATCTACATTCCAATATCAGTAGTTTAAGTGCAGAGCATTACACACTCTAAGAAAGATGAGACATACTATGCCTGTGAGGAGTCAAAAAAAGCAGGGGACCACAACATCGGTTAAGCTAGATTTGTGCAAAGTAATGGATAGTGCCAATGCTAAGACTTAAAAAACATGTGCTTAACTCCTACCTCAGCCAGAAACTTACAGTGTGAACCTAGGCAAGTCAATTAATCTGTAGTGCATGACCATGGTCTATGTCTATAAAATGGGATTCTCTGTCATAAGAGAACTCTGAGGTACCGTATTTACACTCCTTCATTTCAAAGAGATGCAGACAGTGAAAGTAGGAGTTGGGTACATAAGTACTTCCATGAATCTAGATCTTATGTTTTACTTTCAGAAAATTTCACATCCAGTAAACTTCAATGAGAAGTAGGATATTATCCATAACTCTCATTTCATAGTTCTGCAATTATGAATTGCTTTTGGAATGTCCAGTGTAACTACAAACAGTCTCACCTTAAGAAAATAACATAACATAACTGAAGCAATGAGGAATAAATGAAAGAAAAAAAGAAATAAAGTATACAAAAAATAGCCAAGAGCAGAAAAACTAAGAGGACTGACTCAAGTCTACGTAAGAATGAAGGCTTAACTTCCTGGGAAAGCAGTGTTATTTAGTCCATTTCAGAAACATACATATTTTTGCCTCACCTTTAGAGAACCTTCTCTGATAAAAGGACTTTTTTCATTGATGCATTGAGATTCTGGATTAGTCTCCATAATGCTCTCAGGTCCTAACGTGCTGCCTTTGAGAAATGAAAGGGGAATAAATCAGGTTATAAACATATAAAAATTGAATAATTTTTAAAAATGGAAAAATAAAAGAAGTGCAAGTAAAAAAATATGTATTTGTAAATAGTAAAAAGTATAAAAGTAGAATAAAGATGTTAATTAATAAAAGATTAAAAACGTTAAATAGTTTTAGAGATAAAATAGAAAGACACTTATCTGGCAACTAGTATTACTTGACAGACATAACTGGGGACCAAATATGCTAAATAATATATCAACATATTAAAAGACTCACTCTCTGCTTCTTGCTATTGAAGACTTTGCTCCTGCATCAAGATTTTTTTAATGCAGATGAGCAATGCTGAATAAACAATAAGCAGTATTTATTATTTTTGCTACTACCACTGTTCCAGAATTCAGATCCAGTGCTTTAATCAGCTCACCAAATGCCAGAACAAGTTCAATACCAGAATAATAGATATTACAAGATATGACTTTCAAGTCAAAAAAGTGAAGAAATGCTGTCTGAACCTTCAAACCTTCACTAAAGAAACACTTACCATATTCCCTGTTTACTATTAGGGCTTTATAGCATCTATGACTCATGAAAAAGGTATCTTTCTAGGTGTGTGGGTTTTATAACATGCTTGGATACCTAATATTTACCTGCTAGAAGAGATTAAAGTACACTATCAGGAACTTCTACTTACTCAAAAGTAAAAATTGCAGTGTGGGTTACAGCACTGCCAGTGAAATTGGAATCATCTAAATATACTGTTAGCCGTCTGCAAATCTCAGCTAAAGGTGATTATCTTCTTTCAGCAAGTGAACTACTGTATGAATCATATCTGTCATGAGGCACTAGATGGGCAAGACTCAGCCTAGCTCCTGTGACAGCTAGATAGGTACAAATCATGATTTAGAAGTCGTAATTGTCCTTTCGGTTTCCAAACTATAATCAGATGTGTTAATTGGCTTGAGGAATAACATTCCTCTTTTTGTAAATGTTAATTGCTAGTACTAGAAGGTTTCAAAGCACATTCCCAAAGAAGGTGAACAAGGCAAAGGCTAAATATCAACAAATCATTGTTAATACCATTTAAATACACAAATAGACAATTTGGACAGAAGTTCTCTTTTGTCAAACGGGGTTTCAGATTTTATTGTCTGCTCAACAGTTACTGTATGAACTGCTTACAATTTTCACTATCCAAAATATTGCTTGTAATTAAAGTTTGCTCTGCAGTCTAGTCAGTTCCAGTTTCAGCTTCAAGCCCACAGCTTCTAACTTCCAGCTTTTATCCTGCCCTTTTAAAAAGGAATTTTCCTGAACGCTGTTGCCTACTTTAACTACTTAACTACTGCTCATTTCTTCGTATGTTCAGTCATCTAAACAGAGATTCATATTTGTATGTAATCCTTAAAGTAATTCCATTAAACGCAGCTATTGTAAATGTAAATTGGCATTAAAGATCCTGGTTTTCAGAACAGAGGATTATGCAGAATATTTAAGTATGTGTATTTATTTAATTTCAAAACATACTTAAGTCTATAAAGACTACAAAACAAGGCTACCCTGTGAAAAAAATGTATGTAATTCTGTTCTGAACAACTTTGGGTCTCAGCACACAACATGAAAATTTAATTTTCTAGGATAAAACAAAAAGATACCTACTTCTGGCTTTCTTAGGGAAGTCAGGTTTTTCCACAGCACATGCAGACAATACAAAAGGTCCTTCTGCCATGGCTTTTTCCAGTTTATGAGACTCTATTTCCTTAGCTATCTTCTCTTCTTTGTATTTGACTTCTTCCTCTTTCACCCAGTCTTCAATTGAGTTGGCCACCAGCTCGAGATAGTTCCTGAAAAGCACAACATTCCTCTATTTACTGTAGCACAGTTTTCACTAATATGATTTCAGGTCAAACAAGATCACTTGGCTTCTCAGTTTCTTATACAAATATTATTCTATAATGTTTGTGAGAAGGCTTACCTTTGACAGGGTTTTGCTCAGTTTTTACAGGAGCTGGTCTTTTGCCTGGTTGGTATTTGCTTAATATAACTTACATTTGGGATTTTGGTTCTCCTTTCTGCAGAGATATTAGAAACTTGTCTTTCAAAGAATGCCTGCCCTCAAACAAAATCCAGAAAGTCAGAAAACATAGAGACATTCAGTTTAAGAAAGGTTGAGACTAATTCTCCTCCTCACTGTTTTACCACCAGGATAATTTATTTTCTTAGTTGTTCTTGATTTATATTGTGTTTTAGAATACACTTCATTTGTTTGTTCAGCAACTGAGTTATTCTATTTAATTCTATTCTTTTATTCTATTTAACTTCTAGCTCTTTTTTATCGGTGTGACAACAAAGGCGCTTGGAAATTGTCATCCAAATCCAGATTAGAGAATCAGTGCACTGTAGCCTGATTCTCATCCAGAATTTGCAACTGGTATAGGTAGTTGCATTGTCTCATCTTTCAAAGGTGTCTGAAATGACTGCTAAAATAGTTCATTGTGAACAACTGCTTCCAAGGTAGGATGAGGCCTGCAAGTCTTACATGCGGTTGCCACTCACCCCTTGTTTGGAGTGTTACCCTAGTTATTTAAAGTAAAATTCTTCACGTGTGCAAAACTAAAAGGGACTTTTAAAGAATGCGTGAGATTCAGTTGTTGTGTCTTCACAACATTTTGCATTTATAAGTTCAAGATGATTCAATTGTACTCAAACGCTCTGCATGCCTTACAGTTTTGGGTTGTGAACATGCAGGTGGTACAAACAATTCTTGACCTCACAATTGTTTTAAAGTTCTTACTGCAGCATTACATTATATGTCTGAGAGAATTAATATGTAGGCTATCTACACAGACTGGAGATGTATACACTTCATGTACAGCTTAAAAATACACAAGTCTCTCTCAGCTCCAGCAATGTATGTGGATCCTGCTTTGGGAAACTTGCATGGAGAAACCGTTGATCATATACTTGGTAGGAACAAGGTGATTCTGGTTGTATCTGAAGAAAAGTGTACAAGTCATCAAAACAAAGGTGTTGAAATCAAAAGGCAAAACTAGGCTGGAACCTAGAATTGCCAGTACTGGAATAACTTGAAGATGAATATACGTTATAAATAAAAAAGAGATTATTCGCATGGAAAGTATTTTAGGGCAATGAAACAGTCATTCAAAGTCAAAAATACACACTCTATTAATATGTATTCTGATGTCACTACTGCCAATGTCTGACTCAGAATCATTTCTCAGAAAGGATTATTCTTTTCCAGTAACTTGTGTAATGTGTTTACTATGAAACAGTAAACAAGTGTCATTAAGATTAACTTTGAGCAAAAGAATAGTTTTGATAATGTCTGAATTCATTTGGCTGCTTCTTAGAATGGCCACTTATCCTAACCAGAGTTGAAATGTTTTATACACACATATCACTGTACATGTGAACCTGCCTTTGGATCACCTTAGTCAGTAGCATTCATTGTATTTCATGGGCAGCCTCCTGCTGCCTACCCTTTGAACAGCACAATTCCCGAATTTTTGGATGTTCTACATGAACTGCGGGACACGATATCCATGGAGAAGAAAGAAGGGTAACGGATCTCCAGGAGCAAATGTTGCTGCAACATAAGAAATTTTATTTCCCCCTTGCATGAGAATTTGCTGTAACAGAACCCACTGCAACCAACTGATTAGCGGGTAACAGAAGTCTATTCCGGACAGCAACTATGGAACAACCCTACAAAGCAGATCTGTGGTCTACAAGATGTCACAATAAAGAAGTAACAAGAAAACAGAGGTAGAGAACTCCTAACAGAGAGACAGTAAAGCACAGCATCTGTCGTGTATTTGCAACACTCCTGTGGTGGAAGTGTGACCCAAATATATCCCCAGAATTAGAATGACAGCAATTTTAATAAAAGGAAAAATCAATAAATTGTTCCTAAACTCATCAGGAGCCAGTTATTTCATGCAAAGGTAAAAATCAGTAATACTACTGCTTAATTAAGTAGGGTTTACACCTGTTTCTGGCAACTCAGCAGGATCTGGAAGCTAATGCAGGCAACAGCTTGAAGCACTCCAGGTATTTAAAAGACTGTCTTCCACAGAAGTGTTAGGTTGCTTGGATACATACACTAGTAAATATTTATGATACTTCGTCTGGAAATCTGAAATGATCTTTAGCAAAAAGGTTGAATAAGGTCAGAAATTGTGCTGATTGTTTTGCAGAGAAAAGGCAGGTATAGATGCCACATAACAGAAGTAAATGAGAGCCCATAGCTCTTCAAAGATACTAAGAAGCATACATAGCAGTGACATCGAATATTTCTATGAAACAAGAGCAAAGCCAAACCTTCTTATTAGCTTTCATGCCAGTTTCTTTAGGAACTCCTTACTGCTTTGAAGAACGCAAAGAAGTGTCACTGAACAATGATGGCATACCCCAAGCAGAAGCTATCTTTCATGTCTAAGCGTTGTTTCCATAGTATGCAGAAGAGCTAGAAGGAGGAAGCATATAGCTATTCCATCCCCAACTGAATTATAATGCATCAACCAAAGAACATACTACATTCCTTCTTTGCATGCAAAATTAGCAACTTTTGTTTTGCAGGTATTGAGACCTCTTCCCATTTTTCAGCTGGCCTCGATTGGCTATTTCAATGCCCTTTCAAGGTGACCAGCCAAATTGTTCTAGGACACCACAGATGAAGAGTTGTTTTTTAAAGGAGAAATGCTTCCTGAGGAGGTCTGGTTCCTCACGATCTGCTCCTACAGACGACACAACAACAATATGCCGCTGTGATGTGTTACTCAGTGTATGTAGACACCAAGTGACATGTTCGATGTACTACGGTATGTGACCTGGTCTCCGGTGTCTCTTCCAAAAGAGTATGGGTCTCATGTTGTATGTGTCAGCCCTGTGTGGACCTCTCAGATACATCAGGCAGCTAAACTGGCACCAGGTGTTTATGTTTAAGCAACTTGAATCAGGCCCTTAATGTCCAGTCCCTCAAAGAGTATGAATAGTTGGCAAAATAAAGAGCTCTGGGCTCCAACAGACTTTTGTGTAATAGGATTTGAGAACCCTAACCCTCTGCCTGGGTCTATCTGAATGCAAGACCCAGGTTTACTTGAACACATCAGCTTTCACTATCTTTTGGGGAAGATGTCAGCTGTTATATACATGGCAAAAAGATTGATTGACCAGACATTTAGTGGATTTTCCCAACAATCACAAAACAGCCAGCATTTTCTCCAAGGAACTTTGTATTTCTGCTGGTAAATCTCTTCTGGCTCTGGTCCCAGTCACTGCTAATCACAACAGCCTCTTTTAATGGAAAATAATTTAAGTCCAAGTGGCTGGAAAGCTGCGATAGACCCACACAGAGTTCCTTGACTGAGAGCAAAGATACAAAATACAGTACAAAATTTATCTTCAGGATGGCACATTTTGCCTGTTTAGCATTCAAACCTGTTCAAATATATAGGTACCAACAGAAGTTGCTATTAAAAGATTCCCATATGATAAATGAGGCACTGCACTTATAAAGGGATGCCTGCAGACAAGATGAGGGGGTGTCCATTGGATAATTTGCTTGAAATTCTATGTGATAAATCAAATTAATTAATCCGTAGAGCACCAGAGTGACATGGTTAAAGATAGCTCAGCTGCCACTCCATGGCACTGTAGCTTCTTTACATATCAGTACATGGACACATATTGTATTCTCGGTCAATTATTTGGAATAGCAGTTGGATCTACATCATCATTTACATTGTTGTTTCAGTTCAAAAATGTATTCCAAAATGAATAGGTCACTGACAAAAGCTCTAATGGTGAACACATCAACCACTTGTATACCTCTAACTGGTAAGCAGATAGTGACAAGGAATTGAGAAGAACGTGGTATTCTTTGAAAAAAATATTCTAATATTAGTAAAGGGCTTCTAGCTTTTCTCAAAAAATTTTCACAGTAACACTCACCCAATTTATGTATACACAGTTGAAAAACCTGATAATTATATTCCTAGACAGAATTTTCTTTTTAACCTCCCTCAGCTGAAGTGTCCTCAGCATAATTTTCTTGATGTGGATATCCCTAATATGACTTTGCCGTGTATGTGTGCATTATATGTATTTTTATAGTTTGTGATAAGGAGTCACATACAGTTACTGCATGGTTCTCCTCACTTGAAAAGTTTTATCTCGATAGAATTCTTTTGATATAGCACTGTTTTCCACCTGCGTGACTTGCTTTCTCACAAATGTGTTACATCATGATGTCTTTTAATTACAAAGCTTTGCCCCAAGCACAGCCATGCAGGCTTTGACTGCAAATGACCGTGAAAGAGACATGAAAGATAAAATCAATTACCTGAATCCAACATTAGAGTGCAATGCAATATCCCAGGTCTCTTGGCACAAACGATACTGATTCATAGGATTGTGAAGAACCATTAGCAAAGAGTTATCTTGGGCATGATAAAAGGAATCAATACATCTATATTCTTGGGATGCAGTATGAAGAACCTGAAAAGGAAAGAAATGAAGGTACATCCTCTCTGCAGACAGTAGCACATGTACAGATGCTATACAGCACAGCTTTTAGCAAAAGGTTCTTTGAACTTCACTGTCCTACAACGTGTACACAAAACATTTGGATTCCAGCAATGTGAATTGTTCAGGCAGGTGGAAACTGAAACTCCACCAGTATTCATATTGAGAAGAGGCAGTCTCTAAATCGCACCTTCTGAGACTGACTATAAATGAAAAAGTTTGGCTAAATAATAAACAAAAACACTGAAATATTAAATAAATACTTAAACAATTTTAAATAAGAAAGTATTTAAATAAATAGTAAATAAAAGCAAAACTATCATATCAGGTAAAAAGAAAATAAATTTACTTTTTTTATCTCAGTTAAGTTTACTTGGTATTCTATTTGCTATACTATGACCTGCACATCTCTGAGATTTACTGTGTTCTACATTATTCTATTCTGCTCTGCACTGCCCCATCATTTTCAATGTTTACATTGTCTACAGGCTGAAACTTATCTTATAACTAGAAGAAAGCCTTCTTTGAAACTATTATTTTTACAGAACTATGCAACTGAAGTAAAACTGAAATAATTGCATATCAACAAATATTCTCTTTAAATATGAAACCCTTAATACTAGCCCGTGTAAAAATTATGTTCAGATGTGACATGTAGTATTAGGAAATACGTATGTGTTCTTACAAAATGTTATTTTCTGTTGCAATAAAATGTTCTTTTCTGTTGCAGTTATTTTCCATCAGTATCTTTTGCCTAGATTCGCTAATTATTGACAGTTCAGTTAGTATTAGCTATCTATGTTGCATAGGAAACAATTCTCCATGTACTGAAATGTATGACCAGACTTTTAAAGCTGTGATGCTAAAGCGATGCTGAAAAGGTCCAAGTAGCCTTTCCTTCAGCCATGTGTCAGGATCAAATAAGAACTGCAACATATGAAGCTCAAGGCAGCACAGGAACTAATAATCCACTCCTCCCAAGAAAATGCCTACCAACTTAAGACATCTACACCTGAACTTATCTTTCACATTTGTTGTTCTGTCTTTCTGCAAGATGAATTTTAGTCTTTAGCTTGCAAGGTTTCTAAAAATGAAGCTTCTAGCCCTGAAAGGGTGAAGTACCATTACAACAACATTTTCTATTTGCCCATAAAGCATACACTGCATAGGTATTTGAAAAGTATGCTTTCACACACATGGAACTAATGAGTCCCATAACTGCCAGGAAGAATCACTCCTAAGGACAAGATCATTTTGTTTCCATCACACGTTTAGCTAAAAAACTCACTACCAAAAAGGACAGATGCATTTTGGCCAAACCAGGAAAAAAAAAACCAATTACAAACTAAATTTCACACAAGAAACTGAAAAGCAGCTAAAGGACAATGGGTTTCAGTAAAAATGTAAAAGGGATAAAACTGAATCAATTATCTAGCAATAATTGTACTCTGTTACAATTGCTTGTACAGCATTCTGAGGGGTGACTGTATGAGTAAGATTGTCAGTTCACAGATACCTGAAGAAGAACATGGGGCTGAAAATGCTCAGTGAAACTCCAGTCTGTTAAACAACACCTCTGTGTCTTTTTTATTTCTTCTAAATTTGGTCCTAGGCCATAATTTTCCGGACTCACCTCAAAATACACCAAAACAAAATAATGAATATCATCATTTCAGTGTCAGTTGTATTAAATTAACTGTAATCTTGTTGACTTAATAGACAGCATCCCATGTTGCATCACAGTTAATTGCATAATGCTGCACATATGTAGACCCGTATGGCACTATTTAATAAAAAACACAATTACTCCCAAAGGTTTTTGGTCTTGGCTTTTTTATGGCAAACATAGCCTAAATATTTTTATTATTAGGTTAGATGTTTTTCAGTTCTGTAAGCAATTATGAATATTTAAACATGTCCTATGAAGTCATTTTAAAATTGCTATATTTATCCAGGGCTGTATGGCAGGCAGGTGTTTCTGAAGATGCCAAACTACACAGTCTATTAGTGTGAATGGTTTGGCAATTTCTCCCAATCTCTCATGCTAGTATTTGACCCCTAGTATTCAGTGAAACTAGCATAGAATTGCCATTAGTAGCTTCACCAAGACCCATCACCTCAGAACTCAAAGAAAGTGATTTCATAGTGCTTATGGCACTATTCACCAAAAATCACGAAATTAACATTTGCATGCAGCATTGCAAAGGAAACCCCAGTAACATGTCCTGGCTGATACTGAACAGTATCTTCTGTTGTCTCATGCTATAGAGAGCAGTTTATTCCATTCCTCACACTTGCCATATCAGAAATAAAAAGATCCAATTCTTTGTTCAAAACAGGATCAGCCAGACCATCTCTTCCATCTTTGCCATTTGTTTCTGTATGTCCTGGAAATTGAAAGCAGAATTTTAAGAAGTGTTCCAGAAATTTCATCCCTAAACACTAAGGTTGGAGTGATGCAATTTCCTTAGCCTCCCTGATGAGATTGCCACCAAGTTGAAGCTTCCTTTTATGACACTAGTCCAATAAATACATGATTAGCTCTGCCACACTTCTTTCCTAAAAGAACACTTGAAAATCCAGGGACAACAAGTGCCAGGCAGGTCATTAAAAAAAAGAGCTCTTTATAAAACCCACTTAAATAACCCTTTAAATAACCCTCTTATTTGTCCTATGCTGACCTTGCATGGTCAAAAAGATTAAAAATACTCTAAGTGTCCTCAAGACTCATACATGAAGAGCCATTTTTCTGCTTACTGAACAAGAGAATCAGTAACAAGCATTCTTTTACACAGATGACATAAAAAAGGCAGCAAATTATATTTTCCCATATTTTTGAAAAATGCAAAATTTTATAAATACAATAAATTCCAAGTTTAGAGTTCTACAAGCCACTGACATAATATTACTTCTGCTGAGGATGTGACTAGCCATTTATGATAAACTATCATTGTTACAATGGCCATCTGATATGAATAGGATTACATGAAGACTATCTTCCATGCTCTCATAATTTTTTAAAATAATTTCCTTTTAATAGAATTATTTATGCCAGAGCTAGGGCAGTAATATTTGATCAAAATTCACACGTACAAGAAAAATACTCTTTCTGGGAGAAAATACTCTGGGTAGTATTTGTTCATAAGTGGCTCATAACCAGCTCAGATTCCAGATATAGATATCTGCCTCTGCTTCTCTAGGAAATTAGACCTGTTTACTGACTGCCTTTAGAAGAGTTAAGAAATCTCAAAGCAAAAGTTTTCTCTTCCTGGTATTTGCTTTAGTGTTACAGAAGTGATACAATGTTGGAGGCTGTGTTTGTAACTGCAATATTTAGTATTGTGACTAGCACAAAAGTAAAATAAACTAACACCCAAAAGATGTTTCCAAAATTCAGGAGAGAGGCATATAAGTAGGATTCATTTTGTCTGCTCCAACCTTCTAAGGAAAGGATCCTATCTAAGCTGGTTGCCTAGGCATCTATATTAGGAAAGCATGGGCAACATCATGAATCTAAAGGTGTAGCAGTTTAGACAGACCTAATTTCTATTTCTCTCACATGCCAGAAAAACAATTATCTTCTTTTTAATGTTGCTTCTTGGCCAACACTGCTCCAGGCCAACAACTTTTTATTATGTTAGAATCTGTAGAAGGAGAAGATGTAGAACTTGCAGAAAATTCACTCTGCATTGCCTACAAGAGATCTCCATCCCTGATCCTTCTAACTAAAATGTTCCCATTCTAATATGAATGAGACAGTTATAATGGCTCAAATGTCACAAAGTAACTTGCTAAAGATATACTAATTGCACAGACTGCAGATGAAGTACGAAAAAAATTTACAGGAAAATATATGCATGTGTAATTACACCATAAAGCACAATTTTTTTTTTAATTTTCAACTTTTTATGTCACCTTCTAGAGTCCTCATATGTAAGTTATATATCCTTTCCACTTCCTAGAAATTTACTAATAATAATCTAATTAACCTTATACATCACTTTTGATTTCAATCTGTGGTTGTTACTGAGTTTGTAAAGACTTGACTGCCATCATAACTCACAAAAGCCTGTATCCAGAAAGGCATTTAAGCATGACTTCAGTATTTTATGTCTCAAAAATGTATTTGTCATAAGCAATAAAACAGTTTTCTAGTACATATTTTTCACAGATACCATTTTAAAGGGTTGCTTAAATAAACTGTTAACGTTGTCGTACAAAATAGCTAGCTTTTGTCTTTATCTAGTAATCCTACATAGATACTCAATGTACAGACTATACAATACTTGAAATTCAATGATTTCTACAAGTAAGAAAAATCACAGCCCTGAAACAGAAAATGATATGGTAAAATAAATATCAGATTTAAATTCTTCAAGAGTAATGTAAACACAGAGGTTTTTACCAGAGCCTCTTGGAGATTTCCCACTAAGGTTCTTTTCTACAAGGAAGAGTTGTCTCAGCTGTTGTGCAAACTGGGCTGGATTATCCCAAGGGATATAAGACACTTCAGAATCACCTCCAACCATAGATCCAGAGCTCTCCAGGAGACCAGAGTCACTCAGCCCAGTCAGCCTCAGGCTTTCAAAAGTAAACACTCTGAAGGCTCTTTCTACTTCAGCCCAACTCAGAACTTCTAGAAAAAAATTACAATAATTAACTGAAAATGTCCTTATGGCTCAGCAGAAGATAAATAGACTATGTAAGTGTATTGTTCCTGGCAACTCTGCAAAAGCCAACAACATTTTCTTTAATGGTATTGGATCAAATTATGTGAGCTACTTTTTACACTGAATTCGAAGTTGAACATGTCCAAATTGCAAAATGATATGCCTAACTATTAATCCATCTTAAATGAAGTGTTTCCTACATCTGAATACCTCTCGGCTCATTAACTTTATATAAATGATGTTGGTTTTAAAATACTGAGTAGACTTTATCAAACCAGTTAACAATGAGTTATTTTCAGTTCATGAAAAGGCTTCCATTATCATAAACATTTTTATTATCTGTAGCTTCTCAAACCAAGTATCAAATGCTTTTTTTCTCTTCAGACAAAATTTTACACATAATTAATACAGATGTATACAAGGTGCAAACGCAATAATAAGTCCGATTTATGGTTGTATGCATCGGTGTCCACAATGATAACCACGAGAAGGATTTTAAGACAGGTAGTTCAGTGCTCAAATCATATGAAGAGTATCTTCACTTTGAAATGTTTTCTCTTTCCAGTAGTTAAACACACAAGAATATCACATAACTTGAAAATGCTGGATATCTCACCTCCTGCTCAAATCAATCACCTTGATAAAAGTGAAGACATTGCTAGATAAGTTAACAGTTGGGAGAGTTCAGCAGTATAGTATTTGGCAGTAGTTTGGCAGTCCAGTGAAGACCATCAACTTTGATACCCATCAGCTGGAATGCTACAGCATTACAGAATACTTTATAATCATAGAATAGTTTGGGGTGGAAGGGACCTTTAAAGGTCATCTAGCTCAACCCCCCTGCAATGAGCAGGGACATCTTCAACTAAATCAGGTTGCTCAGAGCCCCGTCCAACCTGACCTTGAATGTTTCCAGGGATGTGGCATCTACCACCTCTCTAGACAACTTGTTGCAGTGTTTCACGACCCTCATTGTGAAAAATTTCTTCCTTATATCTAGTCTAAATCTGCCCTCTTTTAGTGTAAAACCATTACCCCTTGTCCTACTGCAACAGGCCCATCTGTCCCTATCTCTCTTATAAGCCTCTTTTAACTACAGAAAGGCTGCAATAAGGTCTCGCTGGAGCCTTCTCTTCTCCAGGTTGAACAACGCCAACTCTCTCAGCCTTTCCTCATAGGAGAGGGGTTCCATCCCTCTGGTGGATACCTTAATAACTTAATGTCCAAAATGAACATACTAATAATTAGAAAAAATGCAGTGAGTGTAAATTAATCCAACACAATGGATTTCAGGACTGACTGGCTGGGAAAGTACCTTCAAATCCTGTGCCTTATAAGACGGCATAAACATAACCAAAGGGATTTGGATGTTTATATTTCTTGGTAGTCTAGTGTAAACTTGCAAAACTACCTAAGGGTATTTATGCAGTCTTTGGGATTGTATCACAGTGTATGTCATGCACACTCCAAGAAAATGTAACTGCAGAAGTGATTATGGTTGAAGAAGTGAATGTATTCTTGGTTTGATAAAGAGACTATTACAGACGCTATTTCATTATTAACACCAACAGCTTACACACAGAATACATTCTGAAAGCCGTATATTGTCCAATAAAAATCTTCTACCCAAGATACATGTGCTCCTCCACCAATAGGGCATTGGTAAATAAACATACAGCTTACATCAGTGTCTCCAAAATGCATTCTATGTCATAGGATCAAAATAGCAATTTGTACAACTTTTGTTTTTCCTCAGATTTAGTAAGTGTTTTTTTTGTTTGTGAATATAAACAAATAAATGAGATCTAACATACCTTCAGCTCACACAATATTTAATACTCATATAGCCTTGCCCATTAACCATGAAACTGAGGTTTAAAGTTAGCCCTAATTTGTATAGTAGGCTAAGGTATAAGCAAGAATGTGAAAATGGTAAATTCTGCAAAAGTTTTAGGCAGATGAAAAACACTTGTCCCAAAATTCCTGCTATCTAATAAGATCATCAACCAGAAGTAAAAAATTGAAGTTGTATCAATGAAAGAGAAAATCAACTTACCACTGGTACAATAATGCATTAGCTCATGAAATCTGGCCAAGCGTTTAGTGTTGTTTTCAGTTGAAGGAAGGGTGAAATGGATAAGTTCTGTAAGAGGCAGTTTATCCATCATTTCACGTTCAATCTTTTCTGGATTTAAGTTCTCCTGGACCTGGAACAAAAAACAAAGTACCAGAGTTAAAGTAAACTTTCACACCAGTGTATTTCTAAAAATTATGTTTGAATAAAGAAGTCTTTCTACAGCAAAAGACATAAGCATGTGCTTAAGTCAGATAGACATAAACTTAAATTTGAGCATGTGCTCACAGTTATTAAATCATGCTGTCAGATATTTTACGGAGGAAAAATGAGATACATAAGAGAATAACTGACAGCATAACAACAGACACTTGTTAAAAGGTATTTGCCTGTGCTAGCTAGACTCAAAAATTCTGAAATACAGAAATATATACTGATCTTTTCAGACAGGCAGCAGGTACCTTCCATGTATCTTTCAGCTGATCTGAGCTACTTCTTACAGTAATGAAGCCTGTAAACCTGTCGATCAGTCTGTGACTGCAGCATCCCTATGTATTTATCTTTATAAATATATAGAATATATTATGTATATGAATATATATAATATAT